TACACAGTTCACACCCCCTTTGTGTTTCACCCTGCCAAAAAGACTCCTGTCCTATCTCGTTTTTCTGCTGAGACCAGTCCTGCACGGTGTTTACAAGATGCATTCAGTGCCATACTTCACTAAGCTCTTGTAGTTAATCATTGTTGATTCATATCTCTGTGTAGGTACATACAATGATCCAAAATAAAGCTCGGGACCTCGGGCTGTTGGCTCAGGGTCCCCTGTGCCTCACTATACCGTCATCTCTTTCTCAGTTCCTTCGCCGCCCTGGGTCTCCGATCTGTTGAGGTTGACACCTATAGGTTTTGCCTTTATCTCATAAGCTACTAGCTTACTTACTATCTATGTAGGCTTTATCCATCCAATGTGCTTTCCCATTTTCCATATCAGATATTATCAAATAGCATAGTGACCTCATGTTCTGTGAGCCCATCAGGCTGAGCATTCTGTACTTTTAGACAGGCTGCCAGGGTCCTGTCTGCGAACGGTCCCGAGGTCCTGGGGGTGCAGACAGAGCTCGAGGCTCAGGCTGTCAGGGTTAGTGTGTGAGGCTCAAGGTGTCAGAGTATCAGGTTCTTCAAAACTGATTTGTCAGGTGATTCTCAATTTCAGCTCCTACAGATTTGTCTGCTGGAAGCAAAGAACAGAAACAGGGCAAACTGGAAAGAGAGAGAGAGAAAAGATCTGAAAAAAGAAAAGATCTCTAGTCATCTTTTCTTTAGTCCCTCTGAAATTGTAATCTAATTATAATTAGCCTAGGTGCCTTAGTCCGTTAAGCATCCAACTTTGGCTCAGGTCATGATCTCATGGTTCGTGGGTTCGAGCTCCGCGTCGGGCTCTGTGCTGACAGCTCAGAACCTGGAGCCTGCTTCGGATTCTGTGTCTCCCTCTCTCTCTGCCCCTCCCCACTCATGCTCTGTCTCTCTCAAAAATGAATAAACATTTAAAAAGTTTTAAAAATTTTTTAAAAATTAAAAAAAAAAAACTAAAAATTGGTATGAGCTGTATGTCTTTCTTCTAGGTGTGCTCTGAGGTGATGAAATGGTTTGCATAGTGTCGAGGCCACTGCGTTTCCGAGGCCAAATGGTGTCTGAAAGAACTGAAAGTATGTTGTTCTTCCTTTTTAGAAGAACAAAAGGGTGGGCAGTCTGTGTGATTTCACAAGGAAAACTGGGGTGGGGAGAGGGAGGGGAACAGAATCTATCAGGAACTTCCCAGATTCAAATGATTCTGACCTGAAACTTGAGGAAAGCAAGAGAAAATTCTGTAGTCAGAGCAGCGGGTGAGGTGGGCTGGCAGGCGGGGTGGTGAAGGCAGAAGAGAAGGGGAGACTTTTCCTGGGCTCCAAACCACAACGCATGTCTGAGTCTTTGGGAAAATAAAGGAAAACTGTTTTGACTTGTTCAAAAGACTGAATTTAAGACTTCTGCAACAGAGCCCACAGTATTGCAACCGGGGAGCCAGACTGAACACAGCCCTGCACACAACAGGGACACGTGGGGACTTACAGCCAACACGCAGGGTGCGGGCAGGGGGCCGGACACTAATGAGACCTAGCAGGAATCTTGGTAAAGCCTGGCCAGCGTCAAGTCTTCATTGAGAAGGGGGATCGGAGGAGCCTGACCAAGGTCTGGTCAAGGAGGAGGTCTGTCAAATGACACACCTTGAATTTGGACCCACATGGAAACCACAAAGGTCAGGGACTGAGGGCACCTAAAGCCAGGAGTGGGGTGGGGGGCCTGAATGGTCCATGTCAACCCTGGGGTCTTAGGAAAACCTACTGGCTGAGTGGGGGAGGCAGTGGCGCTGAGGCTGAGCAGAGTAACCACGGAAAGTGCAGGGGAATTTCTCATTCATCTGTGTCAAAATGCCATCATCTTGTGCAGCGCCTCCATTCCCCGGGGCAGGGGTCTTCAGACTCTGGCATGTACTAGGATCGCCTGGATGACTTTTAAAAATACAGATTGCTGTTCTCACCCCCAGAGTTTCTGATTCAGTAAGTCTGGGAGATATCTAAAAACTGCATTTCTTTTTAAAATACTTTTAATATTTATTTTTTGAGACAGAGAGAGAGTGGGGGAGGGGCACAGAGAGTCAGACTGAGGATCTTAAGCAGGTTTTGTGCTGACATCACAGAGCCCAACACGGGGCTTGAACTCACAAACCACAAGATCATGACCTGAGCTGAAGTCTGCCGCTTAACTGACTGAGCCACCCAAGTGCCCCCTGAAAACTGCATTTCTAACAAGTTCTCAGGTGATACTGTTGCTGCCAGTCAGGAGACATGGCTTAGAGAGTGAATTCTCTATGGATAGAGGGTGAGAAAGGGAAAGCGCGAGTGGGTGAGGACTCTCTGGGGGGGTCCCTCTGGGTGATGATCTGGGGGTGGTAAAAGGCAGTCGCCACGGACTTACTCAGGTTTGCTTTAGTTGGATGGTGCGCCACCCCCGCCTGTGGGTCACAGCTGCCCCTCCAGCCCAAGGAATCACCTTACCTGGAGGTTGTGCCCCTGGGGACTGGGGGCAATCCCACAGCCGCTGGTTGACTGACCTGAGTTCCGGCAGGCCGGCCCTCTCCCTCCAAGGTGGAGTGAGGATAGTGTGCTGTATCCTGAGGTGAATCTCCAGCAGAAAACTTGCATTGTCTTGCTTCCTCTGCCCCATCTGGCGTCACTGGTCCCTCTGACACCACTCAGTAAGTGACATGTGTTCGAATCCCGTCCTCAGTCCGCTTCCTGGGAACAGAAGCCAAGTCAAGGGATATTTATGGGACCACGGGATGAGATCTACGCCCTCTGGCATGGACTCTGGCCCTCTCTTTCTCAGATTTGGGGACTCCAGCTTCCAGAACGAACAGACGCTCCCAAAGCCAGGAAGTCCAGCGTTCACGCAAGCCTCTGGGAAAACTGGCCTCCACGCGGGAGCTCCTGGAGGCGGCTGTGTTGGGGCCTGGCCTCCAGGAGTGGCTGTGCCCGACTCGGCGTAGGTGGTTAGAGGGTCTGAATCCTGGTTCCCTAGACTTTGGACACCCCCCGCCTGCCGGGGGATTCTCCTCAAAGGTTTTGTGGTCAGCAGAGCAGTACTCATCTCCGACGCCTGTTAGGTGGCTGGTGGGGTAGATGCCTGTGTAAACACTGCTTTGGGAATCAATTCGCTCAAGTTTATCTAATTTGCATGATAGTTTGTGGGAACTTCTGGTTTGAAGGAAAAAACTCAGCAGCAATAATAGAGCCGGTGAAGTCATAACGATCACCACGACGGCAACAGTAAGGTTCTAACTGCCCTAACGGACCCAAGAAGGTCTCGCTCTGGAAGGTTCTGTGTGAGGCTTTCCCAGGGGACCATGATCGGTCACAGGGGTCGGTGAGGAGGGGACAAGTGGGCACTTTCTCTCCGGATCCCCCCGTTAGAGAGACTTACGCATTCTCCTCGTCGTCGCCACCATCATCTGGGACACCTGCCCCCACACCTGCCCCCACACCAGCTCCCCGCCTCCGGTGGCAGGAGGCTCCCCGCGCCTCTAGTCTCTGATAACCTGGTCTCTGCAGGGTCAGCCCCTGGGGGGCGTCACGGACGAACCTGCATTTTCCACAGCTGCCTCAGGATGGAGCTTCTCGGAGACACTCATCACCACCGGGGGGGGGGGGGACGGGGGGGGAGCCGAGCCCTCTTCCTTCGCGGCTTCGAGACTTTTCCACGGAGCGTTGGCTCGCACACAGCCGCGCTCTGCTTCAGGCCGAACCGGAACCCCGTGTGGCCCCACCTCCTGCACCCACTTCCTGGGTCTGATGATCCTCATCGGAAAATAGCAACAGATGTGGACGCTTCCGAGGCCTCGCTGAGGTCCCTGGGGTTCTCGCATCTCTCACCGCGCCGCGAGCGGGCCCCGCAGCCCCTCCCCCTCCCCGTCCGCTGGGCGACGCCTCCGGAAGCCTCCAGCCTGAGGTGACCGGAGTTTGCGAGCCAGAAAACACCCACGTGCCCGAGAACGTTTTCCACGAGCGTCCACGGCCTCTAGGGGGCGCAGCCCGAAGGCCGGAGCCGGGCACGGCGTCCCTCGGAGGCCGCGAGCGGGGGCCGGTCCTCCCCCAGGCCCGCGTGAGCGCGGGGCTTCCTGGGCTTGGGGACAGCCCGCTCCTTCTGGACGCTGGGGTCCCCGGTCCGAGCGCCCCCCGCCCCCCGGCTGTGCCCGCTGGCAGGGCGCTGCGCCCAGGGTGGGCCGGGCGGCTCTGCCCGCGCGCAGCCGGCTCATCCCGCCTCACGGTGCCACCGACACTGAAATGCCCTCTACGTTCCAAGTGCAAAACAGTATTTAAAGCGCAAAAAACATGTGAAATGTGTTCAAAGTAATTTTTGAAAGGGAAAGAAAAACGGCTGTTTTTGACAAGCCCCTCGTTTCCGGCGTTGGGCCGTCGGTGCTACCGGAAAGGGCGGCCCGCGCGGTGACCGAACAGCCGCCGCCCCGCACGCTGCTTGCCCCCTGACAGGGGCGACGGCTCCTTATCCTTCTCTCCCGTTTCTTCCTGTGTTTTTACATTTTTAACTGTGAGCAGGAATTTTACGGAATGTCTGTGTCTTTGGAGAGAAGTGGGGCTACCTCGCACGTGGGCCCCCAGGAGCCCCCCCCACCCCGCAGCGGGAGGGGGCGGCTGCCTCGGCGAGGTCCGCGTCCTTGGTCACAGCCGCCAGCCCCGCCCGGTGTCTGGATGGGCAGGGAAGCATCTGGAATGCGTGTGGGAAACACAAAACACGGAGGGTGTGGTATGGGGGGCAGGGTCGTGACCGGGGCAGGGAGACACCTCGGGAAACCAGATGCTGCAGAATTTCCTTTATTTGAGTCAGTGATGAGAAGGGGGGGCTCAGGGGCATGACAGAGCTCCCCCTTCGGATGAAGGGACACCTCTGCCCCTGTGCGATGGCCAGAACCACTAAGGGGCAGGAGCCAAGGAGCCTTGGGTGGGTCCAACCCTGAGGAGCGGGGGGGGGGGGGGGGGGGGGGGGGGGGGGGCGGGGGCCGCCATCAGGGAGAGGCCCCTCCTCCTTTGCCCTGAAGAGTCTGCAGGGGGTGGGGAGTGGAGGCCTCATTGCGGACAGGAAGAGCCTCATACCTAGGTCTATCTTTAAGGACAGGAGAGGTTATGAAGGGGATCTTGGGGGTCTTGCAGCCAGTTCCTGCTTTCTCCAACCCTCCAGGATGGGGAAGGGCAGACGCAGAACTTCCGGGGCTCGCCTTTTTCTGGAATGTTGGGCAGCCTGAGCCATCTACCCTGAAATCTGCTTTTCCTTTGCAATGCAGTGGAAAAACCCTGATATTTGGGGAGCAGACAGTTGGGGAGATAGGTTTTCCTTCAACACACACACGAGCACACGCACACAGGCACACGCATATCCAGGAGGGTTTGGTCACACGCATATCCAGGTGGGCAGGCATGTGGAGTAAAGACAGAACCACCATGTCCTTTAGGTGGGAGGCAGTGGCTACTTCTGACGGCTTCTGGCCCTTTCTACTTGGTTTTCAGCTGCTTCAGGTACTCCAGGATGTCTGACCTGACGGTGCTGACGGGAGCCTTGTGGAACCAGCGCATGACAGGGACCCCGTCGGGCCCCACCAGGAACTTCTCAAAGTTCCAGCGGATGTCGTGGACCTTCATGGGCTCCCAGAACAGCTGGTCTCGTGAGCCCAAAAGATCAGAGGTTGGCGGGCAGGAGTTCTGGAGCAGAGATATGAAAAAACGGCTCTTTTTTCCTGCTTCTGTGAGGTCCAGTAGACTCTGGGACCCTAGAGTCTACTCACCATCCCATGTGTCAATATATGAACCACCTGGCCTGCCCGCAGTGAACCAGACGGTTCTATGCAACGCCATCAATACAACAACCAAGAGCTAGAGAGTATGGGGGCGCCTGGGTGGCTCAGTCAGTGGCGCATCTGATTTCAGCTCAGGTCATAATCTCACGCTTGTGGGTTCAAACCCGGTGTTGGGCTCTGTGCTGACAGTTCAGAGCCTGGAGCCTGCTTTGGATTCTGTGTCTCCCTTTCTCTCTGCCCCTCCCTCAACTCATACCCTGTCTCTCTCTCAAAAATGAATAAATGTTAAAAAAAAAAAACGGGGATATGACAAAATATTCCTCCCTTCCCAGTCCGCCCCTCCCGTGATTATATCCTGGTGCTTCTAAAATAAAAGCTTCTATTTTCTTTGCTAAGTCCTATCATTTCAGTAGCTTCAGTTTTCTTAGCTGAAAAAATAAATTATTTGGTTTAGAGTTGTGGTTCCCAGAGTTTGGGGCTTCCCAGGCTGGTCAAGGTTTAATAACTATTTTATTAATAGTTATTGTAGAGATTAATGTAGAATAACCAACATCTATTTTGACAATAAGAAAAATCAAAATTCTACTTAACTATAAAATTTTAAATTAACATGTTTAAAGTATTAGTTCAAAGAAAAATCATTAGTATCACCGTTTTTGAGCAACACAAGTGGCAATTTATAGGATTTAAGCAAAATGAATTTAATATCAGAATGATGGTCTTTTATATTCAATAAGATGAGCTTTTCAAAAAAACTCCCCACTTTTTTTTTTTTTTTTTTTTTCCCCAGTTTGCAACGGATGGGTGAAAATTTCAACCAGGACCAGACTTTTGTGGCAGACCGGCATTTGGGAACCAGTGGCCTAAGGGCACCTCGGTGGTTCTGTGGTTTTCTGTGGTTCTAACACTCGGGGATGCTAAGACCAGTTACCACCCAGCACTCTGTGTTATGTATCCCCTGTCTGCCTCCCTGACTGGAGAGGAGCCCCCAGGAGGGGCGGGGCCCTATTAGTACCTTTGGACTCCCTGTGGCAGAGCTCCCCACCCCTGCAGGTATTCCATACATGACTGCTGGAGAGAGAATCACCGCCACTCAGTAAGGGGCACTAGTCCACGTCAGATCTGTCACAGGCCACAGGTTTCGGGTGGTTGAAGCTCAAGCCTCACAATGGATATTGCCACGATTCATGAACTTATCTAGGCATTTCTTTCCAAGGAGTCCAGCCTCAATCCTAGAAAAGAGCCCCACGCTTCCAGGACATCTCCTGCCAGGTGTATGGGCGCTCACCTTCAGGAAGGTAAAGACCTTCTGTTCGTTTTCTCCATTCACATCCCCTTTCTCAAAGAGCTGAAAACTGGGGACAAAGCCGCCACCTGGGCGCACGTACCTGCAATGAACAGGATGTCCCCAAGAGGGCCCAAATTAGGACAGGAAGGCATGGTGATGGCCACCATAACTCCGCCACAAAGGGAGGTTAGGATAAAGAGGGAGACACGGAAGACCGGGAAGAGGAGGAAAGAGAGGTCTCTGGGAGTTAGGACGTCATGCTTGATGGAGCCAGTGGACACTTCCAAGAAAACTGGAAAGCACTAGTGTAAGTTACGGTTCCCGACTCCGTTCCATTGCCCACACTCCCGCCGTCGCCCTGTGCTTCTTTCCCATTAGACATTCCCCGAGTGTCATCATCAAGGAGCTCAAGGCAGAGCGAGTGCTTGAGCACGGCCAGCAGGCAGGTTTGCACGCGAAGCTTCACAACGATGTTCTTGGCCCCAACGACCCACCACCCACCCTGGAAGTTTCCAGAGGCAGTGGGTCTCCCGGCGGAAGGAGGGAGGGGAATCCTGGTGGGTCTCTGCAGGCTCCCCAGCAGCCACTCACTTGAGCCCTGAGAGGATCTCTGAGTTCTTTCCTGGTTCTTGTTTCCCAAACTGGTTGCAGGGAAAGCCCAGCACGACCACGTCTCGATGCTTCAGCTCCTCCTGAAGTGCGTTCAGCTCTGTGGGAGGACAGCAGCATGGGTAGCCTGGCTGGCAGCCCTACCCTGAGCGGGGAAAGGGTACGACCCATTGATCCGGATGATCTATTGACCACGGGAACACACTGAGGGTTATGAGGGAGCAGTTCAAAATTACAGAGACTGAGGAGGCAGAGCAAAAAGCCGGAACAGAAGTTTCCAGAATCAGACCCAACAGCTGCCATTGTTCTTGTGCACTTGTATCCATAAGTGGCCCCTCTGTGCCATCCAGGGGGGGCGCTTATTAGAAAGCACTGGTCGGTTAGCCCTGGGGCAGGGCCTGCGTGATTCTGAAGGGAAGTAAGATTTAAACGCCCCTGCTGGCTTGCTTAGGGGTGGATTGATGGATCAAAAAGTTTCAAGGAAGGGGCGCCTGGGTGGCTCAGTCGGATGAGCGTCCGACTTCCGCTCAGGTCATGATCTTACAGTCCATGGGCTGGAGCCCTGTGTCGGGCTCTGTGCTGACAGATCAGAGCCTGGAGCTGCTTCAGAATCTTCATCTCCCTCTCTCTCTGCCCCTCCCCTGCTCATTCTCTGTCTCTCTCAGAATAAAATAAAGACAGAAAATTTTTTTTTTTTTAATTTTCAAGGCAAAGGCAAACAAAGTGGACAAGCTACCCATCACCCACGATGCCCCATCACAACGACACACCTGACACCCAGGCCTCCTCCCAGGAGCACTCTCTGGCACTGTCACCTGGGCGCAGAATTCGGAGCCTGGTTCCAGAGCATTCTCTACCCTCTCGTCTACGCCATTCCCTTGGACTCTCACGGGGATTCCAGGCCACAAACTCCTAACTGCTGCCAGGAAGCTGCTGACCTGCGTGTCTAGACCCTGCCAGTATCTCATCTCAGCCCCTGGCAGTGTCGGGTCCCCATTACCAGGGCCAGCCGGTCCACTCAGGCTCCGCTCTGTGCTGTGATGGTGTCTCCCCCCAAACCTCCCAAGTGACAGTGCCTTCCTGTTTCTGTATATTTCTTCAGTGACTGTCCGTACTCACCTTCCTCTTTGACCCTCCAGAATATTTCCTTCCTGAGGCAGAAACACCCACCAACCCTGGTTCTAGTCCTTCAGCAAATTCCTTTAACTCAGTTTCCCTCATCTGGAGTAAAATTTGAAGGAGACACTCTTTAAGATACTGTGTACTAGTTTAAGAAATTATATCCCAGCAGCAGAGTGGAAAACTATGCCTTCGAATAAATGAAGAAATTCATCATGTACTGATACAAAATAACATCCAAGATGTTTGATTATATGAAGAAGCAAGGTGCAGGATTGCATGTAATTGTCTATTTCTACAGGAGAGAGACAACTGCCTGCATAGACATTAAAGATTTATGAAAATGTGCACTATAAACTGATGGCACTGGCTTCCCAAAAAGAAAGAAATGGGGACGTTTTCACTGTGAAAGACTTTTATATCTTTTACATTTTGAATGTAGTGAATATAGTCCCTATTCAGCACAAATTTAAATTAAAACTAAACAATTAAAAGCAGATTCTCATTTCATGCAACTGTTGTTTATACATCACAACTTTGCTTTTTTTTTTTTTTTTTAACTTAAGTAGGCTCCATGCCCAGTGTGGGGTTTGAACTCACAACCCTGAGATCAAGGGTCAGAGGCTCTACCTCTGGGCCGGCAAGGTACCCCTATATATCATAGCTTTTAAACTTACTGTATTGTTTCAAATTTAACTGTCTGAGGGGAGGAAAATCTCTACTTGCTAAGTGATATTAAACTGTTATTTAGGCTTGTATAATTAGATCCTGACATGTTATAAAACTTAAGTAAAAATTTAATCTGTAGCTTTTCAGGTTTTTCCCTGGGCTGATTGTACATTAAAAAAATAATAAATATAGGGGCGCCTGGGTGGCTTAGTTGGTTAAGCGTCCGACTTTCGCTTAGGTCATGATCTCACGGTTCGTGGGTTCGAGCCCCGCGTCGGGCTCTGTGCTGACTGCCAGCTCAGAGCCTGGAGCCTGTTTCAGTCTGTGACTCCCTCTCTCTCTGACCCTCCCCTGCTCACGCTGTCTCTCTCTCTCCTAGAAATAAATAAAACACTAAAAAAAAATTTTGGGGCGCCTAGTGGCTCAGGTTAAGGATCCGCCTTCGGGTCAGGTCATGATATCACACTTCATGAGTTCAAGCCCTGCGTGGGGCTCTGTCCTGACAGCTCAGAGCCTGGAGTCTGCTTCGGATTCTGTGTCTCCCTCTCCTTCTGCCCCTCCCCAGCTTGAGCTCTGTCTCTCTCTCTCAAAAATAAACATTAAAAATTAAAGTAAAATATCAAAATTTAGTGAACCATGTATCTTAGAGATGAGGTTGCAATACACTTAAATTTAAGTGGTGTTAAAAGAGGAAATTCTTGGGGGGGCCTGGCTGGCTCAGTCAGAAGAGTGTGAGACCCTTGATCTTGGGGTTGTGAGATCTACATGGGGTGTAGAGATTACTTAAAGGAAGGAAAATAAAAGAGAGAAAGTTCTTGGATTTCTTATTATTGAAGTTCCATTAAGACAAATTGATGGGAATAAAAGAAAAAAGGACACATCAATGGGACTTTATATTTAAATTTTTTTTTAAGTTTATTTATTGAGAGAGAGAGGCAGAGAGAGGGAGAAAGAAAGAATCCTAAGTAGGCTCCACACTGACAGTGTGGGCCTCAGTCTCACAAACCATGGGATCATGACCTGAGCTGAAATCAAGAGTCGGATGCTTAACTGACTGAGCACCCCCAGTGCCCAGGCCAGGAACCTGGGGAATTTATATTTTTGATCAGTTGAACAGACACCAATGTCAACACGTGGAATATTTTTCTTAAAAGCTCTTTGTGTATTGTTTTGATTCACTTCTTTGTGGCGTTTGGTGCAATTAACTTTTTGAATTAATCTTGAAAAAAAAAGCATTTTAAAAAAGCAGAAAACTTTGGTGTGTCAGAAACTGCAATCCATCTAAAACTTTAACCTTTCCTGGACCCACAGGGACCCCAAGCTCTTCCCCATGATGCACAGACAGAATCCACCTCTGCGGTGGCAGAAGGGCGGCCGGGTTTGGAGCTACCACGTCAAAGGTCACCACTTAGAAAACTACATCTCCCTCTTCTCCATCACGTGGTGGTGCTGAGAACCCAGGAGTGTTTTCCTTTTTTTTTTTTTTTTCAATTTTTTTAATGTTTTTTATTTATTTCTGAGAGAGAGAGAGAGACAGCGTGAGCAGGGGAGGGTCAGAGAGAGAGGGAGACACAGAATCCAAAGCAGCCTTCAGGTTCTGAGCTGTCAGCACAGAGCCCGACGCGGGGCTCAACTCACAAACTGTGAGATCATGACCTGAGCCGCAGTCGGACACTTAACTGACTGAGCCCCCCAGGCGCCCCTACGAAGACATACCTTACTCACAGTCACAGAACGGTCCCCATTTCCTCATTCCTGACAGCATCCAGTTCAGAGCAAAGCTATCCCTGAATCCTTCCCCAAAGCACCCAACACAAGCCCAGATTCTCAAATAAGTTCTTTCTAGCACGTTCTTACTGAGGAGCCCCATGGTTCCCCACAGTAAATGTTCCTCCCCAGGGCATTCAGGAGCAAACCACCTTCTGGGGTGACAGGTACGGTCCTGGTCGTCTCTGACTACGTCTTCGGGAGAATGTTATTTCTCAAATCTCGAGATAATTCTGTTTTGTCCCAGGGAGTAGAGCGGTGGCAGGACTGAGGGGGATGGACTCACATGATCACCACCCCCTCCTGCAATGACATATTGGGGAAAATTCTGGAATCATGGCCATCTGACAAAGCTGGTTCCAAAAGAATTAACACCCGCGTTCTTACCAGGGTACTGAGCTGTCAAGCCACAGTAGGAGGCCACGTTGACGAAGAGGACCGTCTTGCCCGCGAACTGCTGGAAATGGACGTAGTCCCCAGCACTGAGCGTGAGGGCGCCGAACTCGTAGATGGTGCCCGTCACCCCCGGATAGCAATCCACCTGGAATGTAACAAAAACACCATAGTGACGTGATAATTAGATAAACAACAATCCCCAACACCCGAGGACTTTTGCAAAGTGCTCGAAGGTCTTTCATGTACCGCGCAAATCTGAGAAGTGAAGAGACTGTTTGCAGCAGTATTTTTAGTTATGGCGAAGCCACCACTAGAATGTGTGTTTTATAGGTGAAATTCCTTTATATGTGTGGGGGGCCTGGCTGGCTTCCTCAGTAGAGCACGTGACTCTTGATTTTACGCTTGTGAGTTTGAGCCCCACATTTGGTGTAGAGATTACTTAGAAAATAAAATATTTTTAAAAAGCGTCTGTGTATGCGTGCATGTGTGCATGTGTGTGCATGCGCGTGAGTGTATACGTGTGCATGTGTGGTACAAGCTCTGTGTGACACACTAGCCGTGCCTGGAAGGTCATCACAAGTGTCCCCCGGCCTCTGACACCAGCATGCTAATGCGATGTTGCAATCACTCCAGCCCTTCTCAAGTTTTCTTAAGAGATCTCTGCGGCTTTACATCCATTTCTCATCTATCTATTCTTAAACTGTGATTTACTTCCCCCACAGCTGGGCCAATAACGAGCTCCGCCTCTGGGTCCCACGAGGCCGCTCCCAGAGCCTTGACAGTGGGGTGCCCGCCTCCTTGCCCCCTGCCACTCAGGCTCTGCTCCTGGATGAAATGGGAAGGGCGGGGAAGGAGCTGCCTGCCGACCAGCAGCCACGTTCCAGGCAGGCCAGGCCCCAGGGACAGGCTGAGCTGCTCCCGTCTGAGGAGACTGCACAGAAGCCAGAGGATTTTAATGATGGAAGGTGAGCTTGCAGGGATCTGGTCCGTAAACGATGGCCTGGAGCAGCAAGGAGATTGCCTGAGGGCGGGCTCCGAAGGGGGACAGCCACTCGCTGTTTTCATTCCCCCAGTCTGCAGCTGCTTCCTCACTGTCCTGGAGGAGGAGGATAAGGAGGGGGGAGGGGAGGAGGAGGAGGAGGAGGGGAGGCAGCGGCTGACCCCAGGCGGGTACCTTGCCTAGGTGTCTGGACATTCATCCACACGGGAGCACACGCATTAATCCAAACATCTAGGAACACTGGCCTCAGGAAGCCCCTGAGTTGTCATCTGAGCCCCAATGTTCCCGGGGCCTCCAACTCTGCTCTATGCAAAGCCCTTTCTACTATTTGCCTTTCTTGCTACTTAGTTAAAAAAAATCACATGGAGGGGCGCCTGGGTGGCTCAGTCAGTTAAGTGCCCGCCTTCAGCTCAGGTCATGATCTCACAGTTCATAGGATGGAGCCCCATGTCGGGCTCTGTGCTGACAGCTCAGAGCTTGGAGCTGCTTCAGATTCTGTCTCCCTCTCTCTCTCTGCCCCTCCCCTGCTTGTGCTCTTTCTGTCTCTCTCAAAAATAAACAATTAAAAATTAAGAAAAAGAAGGACAAGGAAATCCTTCCAAGGACTGTGATGTGTGTGCCTCTTGCCTTCATGCGACCTTACCCCTGGGGTAAGAGCTCCCAGCTTTTGTCCCTCACGGTGGGTATCATGCTGTAAGTGGGAAACAGAACCCCAAGAAAACTGTACCCTTGAAGGCTGGGTGAGTTCTGCTCCAGCCTGAAGGCATCAGGATACTCTAAAATACAGCCATTGTAGTCACAAGATGGCTTTCTAGAGCTGAAAGTCCACCCCAACCCAGGGGCAGTGGCTGCTATAGACCGCACACCTCCCACAGGCTGCCTCTTTTCAGAGAGGAGAAATGTGCTTACATCCACTACCAGTCTGGGCATTTTATATGCGTCATCTTACACATCATAGGGACCCCGTGACGGAGCGCTCAAAGTGGTTTGTGGACCTAGACAAGTCTCACCTGGGGACATATTAGAAATGCAAGTTTCTGGGTTCTCCCGAGCCCTGCGGACCCAGAAACTTTGTGAGTGATGGGAAAAGAAGGAACAAAAGCTGAATTTTGCTGCAGCCTGAAGTCTCCAGGCAGGGTTCCTAGGGCTTGCAGGTCATAACACTCCCACAGCTCCGTCCAGACTTCCTTTCATGCTTCACCACATGCTCTGGTTGGTGTGACTTCACTAACCATAAACTCCGCCCCTAGACGTGCCTTAGCAATCATCATCAAACATGGCCCCTGACAGACATACGGAGGATCTGAGGACTAAGGTCTTACAATAAATAGCCTTATGGTAGCAGCAGCTACCCTAGCTTCCGAATTCCTTAGACTCATGCTGTCCCCCAACCCTCATATAATCAGTCACCCCTCAGGACCCAGTGCAGCTATTTCTGCCCACGGGTCCTGTCCCTGTGCTACAGTAAAACCACCTTTTTGCACTGAAAACGTCCCAAGACTTTTTCTTAATGGTTCACGGGTGGGCTCCCATCTAGTGGGACCCAGCACCCTGTGCTCTGCCCAGCTGTCCGGATGACTCTCGCCCGGGGGTCCCTGCGCTTTATTCTCCAGCTTCTACAGGGGAGGGCTAGGCCAAGAAAAGGGATGTAACTGGTTTAAGGCCACAAGTGAGGCTGAGTTTTTGAATGACTTTGTCTGGTTTTAAAGTTAAGACCTGTTGGTAACTCAAGTCCCCTACGGAGTCCCCTGCCTGTGTCCTAAGACTCGCACACACATCTTTTACAGGGTGGCTGGTGACCTCCAGTGTGGGGCTCTCCCAAGGGCATCGGGCGCTTTGCACACCCCAAGACCTAAGAGCAAATCCTCTTCCTCGAGTCCCCCCACTACTCTCCCGCTCACCAGCCCACCTCCCCTAAAATTAGATCTGGCCAATAGCTACCCTGGCCTGTGTGTTTGTTTTATTACCCCCTGAACAAAAGACAAGCCCCGTTCCCTGACCCTGACGCCCCAGGTACATCCCAGCCTCAGCTAGCTCTCTTCCCTGGGTTCCAGCCCGGGGGCAGCGTCGGGCAGCCCCGGGCCCCCCTGCGGCCGCACCGCCCGGCAGGGGCCGCTGGGCGGGGCTCGGGAGACGGGCGCGGCGGCCCCGGGCGGGACGGGGTGAACCGCTCGCAGCCCCGCAGTCGTGGGGTGCCGCAGTCCGCTGGGCCCCCGACGGGACACTCACCCTCATGGCTGGCGGGGTCGGGGCCGGCTGGGCCAGGCCTCCCACGAACAGCAGGGAGAGGCACGAAGCCCAGAGCGGCGAGGCCATGGTGGTTGCGGGGCGCGCCGGGCGGCTCTGCAGGGCGCGGCCGCCTCGGCCCCTTTTGAGCGCCCGGGACAGGTCCGCGCGGAGACGCGCCCTCCAATCGCGGGGCGGCGCGCACGCGCGCACACACGCGCACGGACGCGCACGCCCCCGCCCTCCTCCCGCCCCCCTCCCCCCTCCCCCCTCCCCCCTCCCGCCGTCATATCCCCCCCGCCCGCCCTCGGTCCCCGCCCCCCTCCCGACCCCTGCCCTCTCCCTCCCTCCCCTCTCCGCCCCCCCCGCCCGCTCCCCCTCCCTCGCGTCCCCTCCTCCAGCGCCGCCCCGCTCCGCTCGCCCGGGCGCGTCCGGGAGACGACGACCCGCACCTGTCCCGCGCACGTGCCCGGCGGAGCCGCTCTCCGGGCCCGGGAGGTGCCCCCCCCCCCCCCCCCCCCCCCCCCCCCCCCCCCCCCCCCCCCCCCCCCCCCCCGGTGACCGCCAGAAGAGAAGCCGTCGCCACTGGACCAGAATCTGCTTTTTCAGAAACAAGAGCTTCACGTGGCTCTTGAGAAGCGCAGCCTGGAGGACGGTGGCCCTCGGTCCTGGGTCCCGACCTCCATCACCAACAGCAGCGCCGGCCGCGGCCCGAGTGTCCCCGGACAGGAGCGGCGGGGTCACACCTGCGGGGGGAGTCGCAGGCGAGGACACCCCGCACCGTGAGCCCCGCCCGCCCGCCGTGGGCTGCGGGCCTCCCTCCGTAAAGCACCTGCCCGCTTCCTCCGGAACATCTGTCACTGCGAGGCCCTAACGGACACCGGGCGGGAGGCGGCCGCAGGGGGTGACTGGATGAAGGGGCACCCCACGCCCTCTCCCACCTGCTCCCGTCGGTTTTCCCTGTGAACGGAGGTGCCCCCACCCCCACCCCCCGCCTCCGTCAGGTTCACACGCGGCCTCTGCTCCTGACCCCGAGGCTGGCGAACTCTCTGGAAAGACAGGCTTCCCATGGGCTCAGATCTCGGAGCTCTTCTCAGGGGCCTGTAACGTGGCCTGGTCGCTGACCCTTGATCCAGTCTTGCGGGTCCCTGGACATTTGCAGCAGCCACGCAGAAGGCTCCCTCAGGAGGCGCAGACCTACGCGCACTCCCAGGCTCTCCAGACCCTCCCCGCCCTCAGCCCCCAAATAATGGCCCAACGCAGACTATGAGGGGACTGTGAGGTGCCGGACACCATTGAGTTCAAGACCCGCGTGCACCAGTGACCAGCTCCTTGCGGCAGAAAAGGCTCATGTCTCTGTACCTGTTTCCTCATCGGTAATATGGGTATAATTAATAGTGTCTACCTGCTAGGGCTCAGCAGCGCTAACGACGATAAAGGACTCAGCCCAGTGCCTGACACTGGCAAGCAGCCATTCACACCCTCCTCCTCATGCCTGAGGAGACTGAGGCGGGAGAGAGGTCACGGGCGGGTCATGGTGAGATGGGAGCGAACTCGGGCTCCCTGTTGCAGGTCCCTTGGTCTTCTCCCAAATGGATCATCAGTTGTGACTAAATCCCCACCGTCTCTCACGTGGACATTTGCTCCTCGTGTAATAACGCCCTTGAGCGGTGAGGACTTCACCACAGATCATCATCGGCCGATGGCCCCAACCCCCAGCTCCCCCGGTCTCTGTCCAGCATTCCTGATGCACTTCTGAGCGCCTTGGGCCCGTGAAGGTGTGGGGCGCACAGCAGGACGCACCTGTCCCTGGTGCACCGGAACCTGAGTCAGGGCTCCATTTCCCTCCTCTCCTTCTGAGCCTGCATCCCTGACCTGCTAGCAGGAATTTAGCTTTCATCCGTCCCCTCGTCTCCTTCCTTCCAGGGTCTTCTATGTCCGCCTTCCTCCACACTCTGCCTCTGTCCTACGACTTTCTGGAGATCAACTTTGTCGACACCACTCTTATGTTGAAAACACTTTGGTTTCTCCCTCGTTCCTACACCTTTAATTTGAAATTCTCCTGTGGAGCACTCCGGATTTGACATCCGCCCAATTTCCAGGCTTACCCTTCCCTCTGTAAATGTTTTCTTTCTGGCAGATTGAACTGGCTCCATCACACCTATCAGGGTGTCGATTCTTGACATCTTCGGTAAAACCTGGACCAGTGCTTTGGGATCGTTCCTGAAAGGTTTCTTGATAGATTACTTACCTATTTTTATCAAAATAGTGGGACACAAGTTTATCAAATAAGACTTCAGAGGTAACTCTGAGGCCTGAGATACTAAGCAGGTCCTAAAGAGCTTGACCAGGCCTTGAACTGGACCCAGGATCGGGTCTGTTAAAGCCTAGGGCAGAAAAGGGTGAGACTCATCTGTTTGTCTCAATCACTGTTTCTATGACCTAGTCAGGACTCACAATTTACAGGACACCTTCAGGGGTCCTAAGGGGGGTAGTGATCTGCCCCAGGTCATAGAAGGGGTCCTAAGGGGCGGAGTGATTTGCCCCAGTCATAGGGAGGGGTCCTCAGAGGGGGACACAGATCTGGCCCAGGTCATAGGGTGTTGTGGGTTGAATTCTCTTCCCCCAAAAGACATATGAAACCCTAACCCCCCTGAACCTCGGAACGTGGCCTTGTTTGAAGATAGGATTGCTGTGTTGAGGTCATCCTAGAGGAAGGGGGCCCCTAATCCAGTGTGATTGGAGGTTTTTATAAAAAGATGCCTGTGGGATATCCAGGGGCTCTGTCGGTTTAGTGTTCTCAACTATTGGTTTCGGCTCAGGTCATGATCTCATGGTTCGTGGGATCAAGCCCCACTTTGGGCTGCTCACAGACATCATGAAGCCTGCTTAGGATTCCCTCTCTTACCCTCTCTCTGCCCCTGTGCCACTGACTTGTGCTCTCTTTCAAAAAAAAAAAAGTTACTTGGTTTCAAATCTAACTTTTTGTTTGATTTTAAAACTTACTTGACTTCTTTAAATCCACTAACAACACATATTGGGATTTTGAGAAGAATGATGATTTTGCTGTTACATTTCTGTCCAAGTTCGTGTCTACTACGGCCTTACCCTTGAGGATGCCTCAAGTCCAGGCTCATCCAGAGCCTTCACGAGGGCAGCTGGTCCCGGAACCGTGTCCTCTGGGGGCTTTGCCACCATTGCAGCGACCCCACCCTCATCTGCTCCTCAAGGTCATTCTCGTGTTTGCTGAGACAAAGGAAACAACACGCACAGAGGACCGTGTCTTTCCCAGGCAGAGCCAGTGTCCGTCATTCCCACCCCCGTGTTCCAGGGAGGTGCCCTGTGTCCACGCACAACTGCAGGTGCTGAGACCCCCTGGCAGCCAGGAGAGTTAACCAACCCGTCAGCCAGAGACCCAGCCGCCCCCAGAGTGGGCCTCACCCCAGAGTGTCTGAGAGCCTGGCCTTCCTCCTCGCTGGGAAGGAAGGGATGTGCCGTCTCACCAACACTGCAGCCAAAGCCCAGCTGTGACCTGGGCAGGGCTCTGGGCCTACGAGATGACCGCCTTCGCCGCCTGTGACACTTCGTATCTTTTCATATTTGTTCACTTGTTTGTTTGAGAAGGACTGAAAGAGAGCAGGGGAGAAGCGGGAGAACAGAGACAGAGAATCCCAAGCAGGCTCTGAGCTGTCAGCACAGAGCCCTTCGTGGGGCTCGAGCCCATGAATCAAGAGATCATGACCTGAGCTCAAATCAAGAGTGGGACACTCAGCCAGCTTTGCCACCCAGGCCCCCCGTATATCCACATCTTTTAAGAGGTGCAGACCTCTTGGTGATTTAATTTGACCAGCTCTCACCTTGAGAAGACTAGGAAGAGAAAGTATTGACTCGGAAACCTCTAAAATTTTAATTCTTGAATATTTTAGCTTCTTGAATTCACATATGGGCTTTCAGAGGCCCAGAAAGTGGAGTGATGGCCCCTCTGGCCTCGGGTAGCCTTACCTGAACAACAAGCACTGGTCCCTGCAGTCATCAGGTCAAGTCAGTGTGACAAAAGGAAGCTGGGAAGCTTCACTTCTTCCAGGGGATTCTCTCCACCAATGGTTCATGCCAGGTTCCAGCCTGGGAGGTCCCTGCAGCTCCCAGCCTTGGGGCAACTCAGCCTCTCCTCGGTCATGACCTGCAGGAGCAAAGTCAGTAGAAACACAGGCTGCGGAAGGGGCGCTGGAGCCGGAGTGGGGAGAAGATGGAGGAGAAATACAGAAGTGATGAAGGGAGCGGGCACCTAACGGGAGCAGAGGAAGGAAAGGGCAAAGTATGAGGGACAGAAAGTGAGGAGAATCAAGCTGTATTAACTCCCTGTTTACTAAGAATCAGGAATATTTAGATAAACTTTCTTGCCGTCACCAGAACAACCATAATGTTAACACTTTCTCTGGGTCATAAGGAAGGATATAAACACAGAGTAAAAACAAATGGCTCCCCGAGTTCCAGGCCTAGTACTATGTCCAGCTGGGACTCACCCTCAAGTATGTTCTCATCCCAAATCCAGACTCAGTGGTAACCTAAGTAATGGCCCTCGAAGATATCAGGGGTTAATCCCCGGAACCCAGATGTTATCTTATCTGGAAGACTTTGCAGATGTGATCAAGTTAAGGATCTTGGGATAAAGGGATTACCCTGGATCATCCTAGTGGGCACCAAATACAATCACACACATTCTTAGGGGCGGAAGCAGGGAGGTTTTGCTAAGACAGGAGATAAAAGACCATGGAAGCCGAGGCCGGAGTGGCGCCACGAAGGGGCCATGAATCCTTCTTTCAGTTGCTCTTGACCTGTTCCTCCTTCTGAGCCCTTGCCACAAACAGCCTTTAATATCTGTTTCTGCAACAGTGAGGTCAAGGCACTCTGGCCTTTTTCTGTGATGAACCTCAAGATTCTTCAAGTCTCTATGCATTAGCCACTTCCAAAGCCACTTTGAGATTATATATAAAACAGATAAATCTATAGATATATACCTATTTATACTGATCTCCTATTAAATGTATAGATATCTAAAAAATAAATATATAGATATCTGTATCAATGTATGTGTATTTATGTGTATATATGTAGATATATATATAGAGAGAGAGAAAGAGACAGAGACAGAGACAGAGAGAGACAGAGAGGGAGGGAGGGTGATTTATTACAGGGAATTGGCTCATGTGACTGTGGAGGCTGGGAGGTCCCAAGATCTGCTGTCAGCAAGCTGGGAACCCCGGAGAGCTGATGTAGTTCTAGTCTAAGTCTGAAGGCAGAAGACAGGCAGAGAGAAGGAATTCTTTCTTACTCAGCCTTTTTTTTTCTTCCCCAACAGATGGGATGAGGCCCACATCGTGGAGAGCAATCTGCTTTGCACATCCTACCAATTTATTTATTTATTATTATTACTTTTAAATGTTTTATTTATTTCTGAAAGAGAGAGAGAGAGAGAGACAGCGTGAGCAGGGGAGGGTCAGAGAGAGAGAGGGAGACACAGAATCTGAAACAGGCTCCAGGCTCTGAGCTGGCTGTTAGCACAGAGCTCGAAGCAGAGCCTGCATCACAATCACAGCATTAAAATGCCCAGTTGAGGGCACAATCAGATGTTGTAAATAAATTCCCAGTATTAAACCTGAGAATCTTAATTTTTAACAAGTGCACCATGGACTCTTATGAATCCTCAAGTTGGACGAATTTTGTTCCTCCCTGTTTTGCTGCTATCATTTACTGGAGTCTTAACCTCCATCCCTTGTGCATTTACATCTAGCTCACAGTATTCCTCTGTCCCCAAGACCTGCAATCCTTGAACCCAGCCTCCTTCAAAAGTAGGATGAACGTTTAAATACATTGACAACCCTGCTTTCACCTAACGGATAATCACCACCTGTCAACCATGTCACACCCGGAACCCATCACCCCCTGGGCTGCCCCTGCTCCACAGGCTCAGAATTAACCCACAGAACAATTTCTGTCCTTGTAGGTTTTTTTTTTTTTTTAATGTTTTATTTACTTCTGAGAGAGAGAGAGAGGCAGTGTGAGCAGGGGAGGGTCAGAGAGAGAGGGAGACACAGAATCTGAAGCAGCTCCAGGCTGAGCTGTCAACACAGAGCTGACACGGGGCTCGAACCCATGAACCGTGAGATCATGCCCTGAGCTGAAGTCAGACGCTTAACCAACTGAGCCACTCAGGTGCCCCCATCCTACTAATTTAAATGTTACTCCCACGACACTTGGGCGGCTCAGTTGGTTGAGTGTCCGGCTCTGGGCTTTGGTTCAGGTCATGACCTCACGGTTTCATGGGTTTGAGACCCGCATTGGGCTTTGTGCTGACAGTGTAGAGCTGCTTGGGATTCTCTCTCTCCCTCACCCTCTCTCTGCCTCTACCCCATTCATGTATCTCTGTCTCTCAAAATAAATAAATAAATGTTACTTTCATCTAAGTGATAAATCACTAAATTTTACTCCTGAAAACATTATTACACTATATGTTAACTAACTTGGATTTTCATGAAATAAAATAAATACATAAAAAATATATAAATAAATGTCATTCTCATCTGGAAACACCCTCATAGACACATTCAGAAATAATGTTCACACAAAATATATGGGCACCCTATGGCCCAATCAAGTTGACGCATAAAATTAACCATCATGGTAAATGTATTGCGAAGATTGACTATGAACATGTTTCTCTTTATATAGTTAGATAGGCAATATCTATCTATGTTTAATCACACCAGTAATAGACCATATAATTATATAATTCAAGAGAGTGAATATAGCATTGTAAAATTCGAAGGTCTTTACATTGTATAGAAAGAGGGTAAAATGGGGCAGAAAAACTATTTATGAACAGAATCTGGTATATCCTGGATGTATTTTATAATCTCAAAGAATGTTTAAGTGTATATAACCATGAACCTTATGGGAGTGGGAGAGGGAGAATAAACATATACCAAATAGTTCAAAAGAAAACTAGAATGAGAGAATATGCGATTCAGAATGGGAGAGACAAAATAGACACCTAACACAGAAAGATAAATGACACTTGTAAGTAAAGGGTGAGAGTTACTAAGCATAAATAATCCAAAATAAAATTAGCCATTTTCTTTTCAGACAAGGTAGGCTTTAAGGCAAAATGGATAACTAAGGATTTAGAGAAATTTTTCATGATGATTAAGCATACAATATACCAGGAAGACAAAATTACTCTAATCTTGTAAGCACCTAATAACATAAGTAATAATATATAAATTAAAAATGGACAGAAATTGAGTCACCTGGGTTGCTCAGTTGGTTAAGTATCTGACTCTTTTTTTTTTTTTTTTTTTTTTAAGTATCTGACTCTTGATCTCAGCCCTGGTCTTGATCTCAGTGTTGTGAATTCAAGCCCTGAACAGGGCTCTGTGCTGTGTGTGAAGCCTACTTAAAAAAAAAAAGTTATTAAAAATCAACAGAAATCTATAGAGAAATATACAAATCTGCATATAGTAGAAGACTTTAACATACTTCTTTTAGTAATAGAAAAAGCAGAAAAAACACGAATAATAGCATGTGAGATTTAGTCAGCACAGTTATCACATTAGACCTAGCAGATATATATAGAACACCCAACAACTGCAGAATACATATTATTTTAAGGCACGCACAGAATATTTACAAAACTTGACCATATGCTGGGCTATAAACCAACTATAAATTTCAAATGACTAAAATGATACACACCATATTCTCTCACCGCATGCAATTAAGCCATTATTCAACTAACAAATAACTAGTATGTTTATAATATAATATGACCTTAGAATGGAAATTATAAAAAATTTTTTTTCTCAGGAGAAAAGAGTCCTGGTTTGAAAGCACATTTCACATCGGTTGGGCCGTTCAGCCAAGACTTCGCTTCATCCTCTTTGCCTCAGAGCAGAGCCTTCCAACACTGAAGTTCTCCAATGCCTCCTGGATTTCCTTCAGATAAGGTGCTGGGTTTCTTTCTCTCCTCCGTTCTTTCTCCTCCACAGCTTCTTCTGGACTCTCGGAAGTATTTTGACCTGAATGATGATAAAATTATGACAGCAAGCTTTCTGGGCTGCACATAGGAGACACATGGAGAAAACAAACAAACAAACAAATAAATAAATAAAAAATTTTAAAAAAAGAAAGAAAGAAGGAGCTGTAAGGGTAGAGAATTAACGAAATAGAAACCTAATATACAAAAGATGCTGACTTAATAAAAAATATTTTAAAAAGATTAATGTTACTGATAACTCTATGGCAATAGTGGTCAAGAAAAATGGAGAGAAAGCACAATATTAGAAATATTAGAAAAGCTAATATTATAAATGAAAAAGGAGGGCACCTGGCTGGCTCAGTCCTTAGAGTATGACACTCTTGATCTTGGGTCCTGAGTTCAAGCCCCATGTTGGGGGCAAATTTTTCTTAATAATAATAAAAAAATAATAAATGGAAAAAGAGACATCACTTCAGCTCCTACAGAGACTAAGAATACAATTACAAACAATTTAATGCTGATAAATATATGAGTTTAAATGAAATGGGCAAATTACTAAAAGGATATGACTATATCTGTAATTCTGTGATAAATACAGAAATAAATAAAAAATATGAACAATAATTTAATGCTTAAAGATATTTCAGTTATAAATAAAACCTTCCCATAAATAATATTCCTGGCAAAGATGACTCTACTAGCAAATTCTACCAGTTCTTAAGGAAGAACTAATCATGAGCTTACAACAAATCTTCCAGAGGATAGAAAAAGAAGGAAGAATACTAAATCATACTTTAAGGACAGTGTAACTATGGTATCAAAGTGTGATAGAGACATTATGAGAAAGAAAAAACATAGGTCCAATGTTTTGCATGAACATAGTTGTAAAAATCCTATACGAAATATTAGTAAACCCAAAGAAGCAATGTAAAGTTGGATTTTCCCCCCAGGAAAGCAAAAATGGTTTAACATTCAAAATCAACTAATTCATATATCATTTATCACATGGTCATCTCAATACACACTTCAGAAAGCATGTGATAAAATCTAGCGTTGATTCATATTTTGAATTTTTTTATTTATTTCTGAGAGAGACAGCGTGAACAGGGGAGGGTCAGAGAAAGAGGGAGACACAGAATCCAAAACAGGCTCCAGGCTCTGAGCTGGTTGTCAACACAGAGCCCAATGCGGGGCTTGAACCCATGAACTGCAAGGTCATGACCTGAGCCCAAGTCAGACGCTCAACCAACTGAGCCACCCAGGCGCCCCTCATATTTTAAATTCATAGCATGCTGAGGATAGAAGAGACCTTCAGCCTGATAGACTACCTAACACAAACATGCAGCAGATTTCATACACAATGGTGAAACATTTCATCCTTACCTTCTGAAATAATAATATTCAAGGAAATAACAATATTCAAGGAAAGGGTGTCTCTACTACTCCCTCCACTCAATATTGTATAGGAGAATTAGCCAGTGAATTTAAGGCAAAAGAGGAAAATTTAATGTATAAAGATTAGAAAAGAAACCGTCATTAGTATGCTTTGTGAACATAAAATTTAAAAAGAAACTAGCAGTGTATTATTACAATTTCATGAGTTTAGCAAAGCTGCTAGATAAATACAAAATTCACAATATTTCTATATATTTTTCATAAACCATTAAAATTAAGCTTCATTGTTTAAACAGAACATAATCAAATACTCAGCAGGAAGGTTAGCCAAAGATATATAGATTGCTTTGATGAGAAATTTGTCTTAAGTGGTACACCTTTAAAAAGTTGTAAATTAAGTTTTAGTAATCATGTTAATGAATTGCAAGAGTCCATGAGGTAAGAAAGTCAATTCTACCCACACCGTTTGGTAGATTCAATGCAATATCAACCAATCCAAGTGCTCCCAAATGCCTAAGTTTCTGTGGAATTTGAAAAAAAAAACTAAGAAATTTAAATGTGACTAAAATCAAAACCACAAGAAACAACATGTTGGTGAGGATGTGGAGAAAGGGGAACCTTCTTACACTGTTTGTGGGAATGCAAACTGGTGTAGGCACTCTGGAAAATAATGTAGGGGTTTCTCAAAAAGTTAAAAATTGGATTCTCCAGGGGCGCCTGGGTGGCTTAGTCGGTTGAGCGTCCGACTTTCGCTTAGGTCATGATCTTGCGGTTTGTGGGTTCGAGCCCCGCGTCGGGCTCTGTGCTGACTGCCAGCTCGGAGCCTGGAGCCTGTTTCAGTCTGTGACTCCCTCTCTCTGACCCTCCCCTGCTCAAGCTGTCTCTCTCTCTCTCTCCTAGAAATAAATAAAAATATTTAAAAAAAAAATTGGATTCTCCAATGATCCAGTAATTTCACTACTGGGCATTTATCCCCAAAATACAAAACACTAATTCAAAGAGATACATGCACCCCTATGTTTATTGAAGCATTATTTACAATGGGCAAATGATAGCAGCAGCCCAAGTGTTCATCGATAGATGAATGGATATAGAAGATGTGGGGTCTCTCTCTTTCTACACACACACACACACACACACACACACAGAGAGAGAGGAGAGAGAGAGAGAGAGAGAGAGAGAGAGAGATGGGAATATTACTCAGCCATTAAAAAGAATGAAATCTTGCCATTTGAATGAAATGGATGGAGCTAGAGTGTATTATGCTAAGTAATATAAGCTTGTCATAGAAAGACAAATATCATATAATTACACTCATATGTGGAATGTAGGAAACAAAATAAACAAAGGGATAAAAAGAGACAAACCAAAACTGACTCTTAGCTACAGAGAACAACCTGATGGTCACTAGAGGGCAGGTGGGTGGGGGGATGGGTTAAGTATGATGGAGATTAAGAATACACGTATCCTGATGAATATGGAGTGATGTATAGGTTTGCTGAGTCACTATATTGTATACCTGAAACTATTATTAACACTGTGTGTTAACTATAATGGAATTAAAATTTAAAACTAAATATAACAAACCTGGAAAAAGAAATTTAAATGTAAGTGCAAATTGTCAAAAATCGTCAAGACAAATTTTAAGAGGGTGTGATAACTTGTTTATAAGATATAATTGCACGTTAAAAGCTACGTTAAACATTGGTTATTTTAAGGATAAACAGAGCAATAGAAAGAAGTAGAAATAGACATGCACTTCAGAACACTGGATTCATAACAGAGTATGCTGCAAAGTAATAGACAAAGTAAGGACGGTCTTTTACATAAATAGTGATGACTCCATTGGATATCCATCAGCGAAAAAATCAAAACTTTGCCTCTACTTTATATCATATGCAAAATCTCTGTCTATTCAAGTGTTTGACCTCACTTCCAAAACCAGAAACACGGGTATGAAGAACGTGATAAATGTTCGAATGGACGAGACAACGGGACGAAAACAAGTGTGGGCTTTGCACCAGGACAAGTGCACTTGTGTCTTCCAAGTTGCTCTAGAAAAGAAATTTTGTGGGATTGTTCCAGATTTAAAGTAAAAGATGTGAAAAAGACAGTAAACAATACCAAAACATGAACCTTGAATGAATCCTAGTTTAAAAGAAAATTATAGTCAGTTTAGGAACTACTGGATAATTTTGATTACGGAATGAATATTAGAAAATGTTAGGTATTGGGGCGCCTGGGTGGCTTAGTGGGTTAAGCGTCCGACTTTCGCTCAGGTCACGATCTCTCAGTTCGAGGGTTCGAGCCCCGCGTCGCGCTCTGTGCTGACTGCCAGCTCAGAGCCTGGAGCCTATTTCAGAGTCTGTATCTCCCTCTCTCTCTGACCCTCCCCTGCTCACGCTGTCTCTCTCTCTCTCTCTCTCCTAGAAATAAATTAAAAAATATATATATTAAAAAAAAGAAAGAAAATGTTAGGTATTTTATTGACATTTGAGGATGAATCAGGTATTTTTAGGTAGAATATACATTAAGATACACATTACTGATGTATAGAGGGGTAATGTGTCTGTATGTCTGCAGCATACTTTTAAATGATTCAACAAAACAAATATACACATAAATGCGCCAAGCACATAAGTTAACAACATTAATCCTGCTGAAAACACGCAGTGGATAATCCAGTGATCCTTTTTGTATATTTTTTCAACGTAAGTGTGTATCTTTAAATTTTCATAATAGAAGCTTGTGACTAAATGAAATCTAGGAGTATTGTACATACAAATGAGAATGGCAAAACATTCTGTAGATGATAAGGGATATTTTTGTGACCTGAGAATTAGAAAATTTTCTTTTTTTTTTTTAATGTTTTATTTATTTTTGAGAGAGAGAGGGAGAGACAGTGTGAACATGGGAGGGTCAGAGAGAGAGTGAGACACAGAATCTGAAGACAGGCTCCAGGCTCTAAGCTGTCAGCACAGAGCCCAATGCAGGGCTCAAACCCACAAACCGTGAGATCATGAGCTGAGCCAAAGTCGGACACTCAACCAACTGAGCCACCCAGACACCCCAAGAAAAATTAGACACAAGAAATATTGATTACAAAGTGAAAAAAATTTTAAAGATTTTTTTCAAATGTTTATTTTTGAGAGAGAGAGAGAGAGGTAGGGAGTGAGTGGTGGGGGTGGGGGGTGGGCAGAGAGAGAGGGGTATGGAATCCCAAGCAGGCTCCATGCTGTCAGTGCAGAGCCCAATGTAGGGCTCGAACTCACGAACTGTGAGATTATGACCTGAGTCAAAACCAAGAGCCAGATGGTCAACTGACTGCGCCACCCAGACATCCCATAAAGGGAAAAATTTTTAAATAACTAAAGAAAATTATGACATTCTGTTTGTCCATTATATCATAGTGCCAGTGCCTTCAATAGTGTGCTTATAATATTTTGTTCAATGTGTCTAGCTATTGTGCAGAGAAATTTTTCAGGGTTACGAGGACAAAGACGTGTCAGAGATGGAGAGAACACATTTAAAATACTTGTATACCAGGGGCGCCTGGCTGACTCAATTGGTTGAGCGCCTGACTTCAGCTCAGGTCATGATCGCACGGTTTCTGAGTTCAAGCCCCACATTGGGTTCTCCGCAGTCCACGCAGAGCCCGCTTTGAATCCTCTGTCTCCCTCTCTCCCTGTCCCTCCCCTGCTCACACTCTCTCTCAAAAGTAAATAAACATAAAAATATATGTGTATACTATTAATTTAGCAGGAGAAAAAATAAACTTATTTTCTTTTTCTTTTCCTTTTTTTCAGGGTAAAGTGAGCATTCCCATGAAGTTGGAGCTCAATTCAGCCAAGACGGGGGAGGGGCGGGGGGACGGGTTCTGAGAGGGGTTATGTCAGGAAAGGCAGGCTCAGTCCTGATCCTGAAGTGTTTGACTGTCCTGCTGAGAAGTGAGAACTTTATCCCATCGGCACAGAGATTGTGAAGCTTGATGATCTCTCAGAGCAGAGTAACAGGCTCAACCAGAAAAGCCTGCTTGTGAATTCCTGCAACACATGTCCATGGGTTTGCTGTGCACGTGATTCTACCTCTTAGATTCCTAGCAAAGACATGCTTTCCAATGATGGTCTCCTCGTCCTCAGCTCGCGGAGCCTCGTTAGTCTAGGTGCCCAGGGAGGCCTTGCATATGCATAGATGAGAGGCTTTCTTACACAAGCTTTGCTCGTACGAGGTCACAGTTACGGAACTGTCCTGGGCACCACGCTTTGATGGCACAGCACACGTATAAGCACGAGTGTTATTTCTGGGCACTAGTCCTCAGAGCTCAGAAGGCCGGTGTGTGTGTCTCCTTCCGTGGGGGCCTGTAGGGCCTCCGACAGGCACCGCCACAGACTTACAGGTTTCACACTGTAGCCTGAACCAACAGCCCGGGATCAGGGAGAAACTCTGAGCTTCTGGGGGGATCTGTATTTGTTTCAAAGGCTGTGAATCAACCTGGGAACTGGAAAAATGTTTGGCCAGAATATCTACTCCTCTCGGTTTCTGAATGAAACTCACGTCCTTGGACAATGAGAAAGAATGATGTGTAGCAACATGGATGGACCTTGAGGGTGTTATGCTGAGCGAAATAAGTCAGGCAGAGAAGGACAAATATCATATGTTTGCACGTATAGGAGGATTAGGAGGGACTTGACGGAGGACCAAGGGGGAGAAGAAGGGGGGAAATGGTGGGGGAGAGGGAGAGAGGCAAACCATGAGAGATTCTTGAATACTGAGAACAAACTGAGGACTGATGGGTGTGGGGGGAGGCGGTGATGGACATGGAGGAGGGCGCTTGTGGGGATGAGCACTGGGTGTTATATGGAAACCAACTTGACAATAAACTATTAGAAAAAAAAGAAACTCATGTCCTTGGAGAAAAAGATTTTCTGTTTCTGCTATTTATTTTTTTTTATTTCTAGGAGAGAGGGAGAGAGAAACAGCGTGAGAAGGGGAGGGTCAGAGAGAGAGGGAGACACAGACTCTGAAACAGGTTCCAGGCTCTGAGCTGGCAGTCAGCACAGAGCCGGACGTGGGGCTCGAACCCACAAACCGCGAGATCATGACCTAAGAGAAAGTCGGACACTTAACCGACTAAGCCACCCAGGCACCCCTGTTTCTGCTACTTTAAGCAAACCTAACATCACCACCGACAGCAAAGAGGACTGAGGAATCAGGAACCCTTGATGTTATAACCACAGCGCTGACCGCCATTTTCCTGGAGTGGGTGAGGGGTCCTTAGTTTTCACCAGATCTGTAAAATGGCTTATGTACGTCTAACCAAATATATAAACCATTACTCTAAAACATCTAGAGGTCCACTTATTCATTTGACAAACGTTTATTAAGCCCGTGATGAATAAAAGCAGGTGCCTTTTAGATAAATCTGACAAAGTGACCTGGACTCTGGCAGCTCACACCTCCTGGGTGGGTAGACCATAAACTGATGCATCCTTGTTTCACTGAATAAACAAGGAAGTTACTCACTTTGATAAGCCCTGGAAAGAAGACAACAGATGGTATCACACAGTGTAAGTAGGAGGAGGCAGAGGGGGTCCCTCCGCCCGGGGACCAGGGAGGTGAGACCCGGGCTGCCAGGGGCACAGTGAGAGGCAGCACCAGGTGGAGACGGGGGGCCCCGAGGCTGGCGGCTGAGCGGCGCCCCGACACGTGGGGCCTCGTGGTCATTCGGTTCTGTCTCTGAGCAGCCTTGGGACCTGCAAGTGGGAAAACACCGTATTGGATTTAACCGTATATTTTTACCAAGTTCAGTCTGCTCGCTGCATGGTAGAGGGAGTGGAGGGGCGCCAAATCGAGGCAGATGGATCACTTCCTCCCTTCATTAGTTCACCGAGTTATTCCGTGTTATCGGGTCACTCGGTTCTTGGCCCAGACGCGTGCAAGAATTGGAGACCTGGCGCCGGAGTGCGGACACAGTCCACTGAGCAGCTAAGTATAGTTCACTTTGTACAGAGAGAGCGGGCCACTGCCGAACCCAGGGTGGGAATGGCCTCGACAAGCTCTGGCTGCATCCTCTTAAGCCTGCTTTGTGTACGAGTAAATTTGGCTTTGATTGACATTTTTGATTGACAGCTGGCGGTTACAGCACACTTTGGCTTTGCGCATGCCCCTGATGCATTCTGTTGTAATTGTATTTATTTATGTAGTGCATATTTATGAGTTTCTAATGAACTTTTGCTGTGACCTTAAGGACACGTTGCACCTTTTGTGTGCTTGCTCAGCTCCCCCCCCCCCCCCCCCCCCCCCCCCCCCATCTCCCTCCACTCTGGCTTCTGAGCCTGCTATGTATTTAGGCTCTTCCTGTTCGGTTACTCCTTGGAGGTGGCTCGGAGGGTGTGGCCTGCACCTGCTTTATCCCTCCTCAGGCATGTCTAAGTAACTGTCTAAAAATTCAACAAATACATACTGGAAGCCAGCTTGCATCCTGACTATCTTCCTTAGAAAATGCTCTGATTTACTAATTTACATTTTAATTTGTTCTGTCCACAGATAGAAACCCCATTTCAGGTCTGATTCAATCAATTAAAAGCAATTTTTTTGGAATACTGTGCACTAATCAATATTAGTCCAAGGTAGCATTCTTTTCTCTAATATCCTTGAAACACTTCACTTTTGCCTTAATGTCAACTAAAAGTCTATCTAAGTTTATATGAATTGCCATTTTGAGACTGGTGCCTATTTTAGTCTATCCACCCAGGCAATTGAACTTTAAAAAATTTTTTTAATGTTGATTTATTTGAGAGAGAGAGAGAGAATGAGACAGAGCATGAGTGGGGGAGGAGCAGAGAGAGGGGGAAACACAGAATCTGAAGCAGCTCCAGGCTCTGCATCTGCTCTGCCTGCCTCTGACGTGGATACAGTTGTGGGAGCACAGTTGTAGCTGGGTCTGTCCCTGGCCCTGTGGCTCAGACCACCCAGTCGTCTACTTCACTGAGCATCTGGCTCTCACGCATACAGGTGTGGCCTGGAAAACCTATAGGCCACAGGAGAGCTCAAAATCCATATAATTTCTTGATTCTTACTTTCGCTTCCCAATCATCTAATAACTGATCAAATCGGCTCAGAATCTCTTTCAAAAGCTGAGACACACACACACACAAAAACAAAAACAAAAAAACCTGAGAATGTCAGCCTTAGAAAGGACTTTGGTGATTTTCTGATTTATAAATGGGTAAACTGAGGCCTAGGGAGGTATTTTCCCAAAGCCTCACAGATCTATGAAGTCTGGCGACGGTCGCAGGGTGGACTTGTTGACATAGGGCATATTTAGCATATTTATTCTTTCCCTGGGAGCAGCAAGGGCCCGAGGCCCAGACTGGAGACTGCGCAGGTGGGAGGCTCTGGTTTCGAAAGGTAAGGGCTCGTCAGATCCTGGTAGCTGTGCAAGGACACGGAGCTCTCTCCCACGCCCTCCCCCAGCCCATTAGGGCAGGAGTAACAGCCAAGAGCACCGCCTTGGGGAGCACACATCCTTCCTCTCTCTGCCTCCCCCCCTCTCCGCCCCCCCACCCCCAGGAGCAGAGCTCTCCCTGGAGCAGAAAGCTGGCATCTGTGACACAGCCGCGTGCTAGGCCGCCTGGCTTCGGGAAGGCTCCGAGCCACCGTCAGCCCAGACGTGGGGAGAGAGCCCCAGACCTCCGCGTGCTTGGGGACGGAAGTCAGAAGGTTAAGAACACGTGTGGGTGAACATTAAATGCAAAAGGACTGTGGTCTCTCTAGGACTTTCCTCCATTCCCAAACATGTTTGAGGTGAAATTGAGTCAAGAGCGGAGAGACAAACAGATCTGAAATAAAAACTCAAGCTTTTGGTCTAGGTCTACACTGTTCTGAGACTTTGCCCACGTCACGTCCCCTTTCCGAACCTCGCTTTTCCATTGCAAATTTGAGCAAGGAACGCATGTCCTACTTGCCTAACTGGAGGGCTAAATGGAATCACTGACGTGAAGGACATTTGTGAACTACAAATATTACATAAACATACGCAATGTAATTTTAAAGTTGCAGATTTAGGAATAAGTCGTATGCCTCACCCTTGCACCCAGAGTAAGGAAAGTTCTGGAGGTCTGAATGGGGATCCCAGATGCCCACGGAGATGAGATAATTCAGGGGAAATATTCAAATCAAACTAACTAGGGACAAAAATATCCACGTCAGGCTGGGGTGGCGGAGGCTGAGCTTGAATCTGGGATGAAGAGGTGGACAGCATCGCGGCAAAAGTTGGACCTGTTCCCTTTACAACCAAAGGAACCAACTTTTGTTACTTTTAATTAAAACGCAAGAAACTTGGTGTCAATTTTCAGGCAGGATCAAGTCAGTAGCAGAAGTGAGGACAGGGAGTCTGAAGGCTTTATTTAACTCGAGCTCATGAGCTGTGTGACCTTGGGCAAGAAAGTTCTCCTCAAAGGAGTGGTAGCTCAAGGAAACATTGGCGTCTGAGTGGGAAAAGCAGGCGGTGCTGGAGACGCGGTGATTTCCGCCACCCTGTGTGATGAAGGACCGCGGGGCAAGCTGAGGACAGAGTCCAGGCTAACATTCACCCCCCTTCTCTCCTCTCGTGGGAGCTGTGTGACATTCCTCAGACACTCCTGCCACCCGAGAGCAGAGGAAAGGGGTTTAAGTGCTGCCATGGTGATGGGGGAAACAATGGCAAATGAGAAATTAAATTCCCTTTACTGCCTGCAGCCACTGACAAGTCTTGAAACAGGCAGAGTGACCTCCCCCAGGAGCTCAGCCGCCTGGATGATGACACTTTGCTGGGGCAAAGGGAATCTTCACTTGCCATTATCCTGACCCCCAGGACCCTGTAAGTCTACACAAAAATTCCTTTGGAGACTTCCTTTATTTCAACTCCCACAAGTAAATACCGACAATCATACTCCAAACATATGGCCCCTGATGCACATCTGAAGGGGCTCGTGACTGACGTTTTACTAAATGGTAATAAATGGCGTTTCCCTAGCAACACCAGCCCCTCAAGCTCCCGGAAACCTTGCTTCCAAATTTCCTTGGGGACTTACTCCACCCCTGACCCCTCCCAACCTGAGGGTATTTGATGAGTTACCCGTCACGACCCCAGTGCGGCTCTTCCTGCCCACGGGTCCTGTCCCTGAGCTTTAGTAAAATCACCCTTTTGCACCGAGGACGTCTTTAAGACTTCTTTCTTGGTCATCGGCTCCAGACCACCCCACCATCTCCCCAAAACTTCATCACTGTCTATTAAATCATGAATCACTGGCAATTGTAGGATTTTTAAAGTCAGAAAGTGACAAGAGTTTATGGTTCAGTTTAGATGTGGATGGGTTTTCAGCCTTAAATCTATGGCTCAGTTCACAAACATTTCCACCTAGAATCTTGTTCGGTAAAATCTGATAAAATTGCATTCCCTGCCCTCTCAGTGGGAATAAACACAGAGGTAATTTGGGGCAGGGGAGGCGGAATCCCAAAGTACTCAGAATAATTGACCTCCAAGTTCAAGAATCTAAGTGCAAAGAGGTGTGTTTTGGAGAAGAGATTCAGCTTGTGTGAAGTGAGAGACTTGCCACAGGAGGGGGTCCTGGAAAGGAGGCGGGGGGGGGGGGGCGGGGGAGAGGTTGGTGCACCCTGGAGAGGCTGGGTTTGACGCTGTACTCACCTGGTTGGCCCTCCTGTCGCTTTATCAGTGCAGGGCAGGGGTCCTCAGGAAGGAAGAGCCTGGAAGAGAGAAGACAAGTGGGAGTTGTTTGCACCTTCCAGAAAGGCAATGACAGGGATTGGATAATGGCTCTAGTGGCTGGTGGAGGAGGAGGCAGGGTGCTTGGAGGGGCAGGTGGACTGGGACACCATGGTGACAGGAAGTGCCCCCCCACCCCGTGGAGCCTGAGCCCTGGAAATTTCTCTTCTCCAGGACAGAGTTCTCAAACAGTGGAGATTTTAGGTCACTTGGTTGGACCACTGAGGCAGGGTTTATGATGAGAGCTTCTCTCCTGCTCTGGAGTCACTGTGTACGGAGCAAAGATAAAATAGTAAAGAGAACAAGTAATGCAGGAGCCGTGCGCACTTTCCGGGGACTTTGGGTAAATCGGGTTTTCTACTTGCGTATCAGGGTCCCAATCTGTTGAGTCAACACTGGACGTTCACCTTGGGCCAGGTCATGTTTAGAGTTTGAATGAATCATCTTTTATTATATTTTTTAAAATTAGCCCTATAAATTTCATATAATTCTCGCAACTCTATAAACAAAAACCAGAGGCGCAGAGGGTAACTTGCCCAAAGTCACACAGCTTCGGAAGGATAAAGGAATGGAAAACATCGTTAAGTAACAAAAATGTTATTTTTGAGGCTTGATATTTTAATGTCCATTGTTCTATGAGCTGTGATAGAGGCGGCCAGTGTCGGAGGTCAGGGGTCAGGGTCTGCGGCCACGGTTCACAAAACAGGAAACCCAGCACAGCTGCCTACAGGCCTGGGGGAGCTTTGTGGCTGGGTCTGAGGCCATTGTTTTGGGCTCCCCTACCCCGCCCCCCAGCACATTGGAGGCCCCTGAGGAGAGATGGGAATCTGGGATAACAAAAGAGAGCTCACGAATGCCCAGACTGAAAGAGCTGAGCCCCTTCAGACTTGGAGGCGGAGGCCTGTGTGTGTGGACCTGGGGCGGTGGTGGGCTGGTGAGAGGAACTTCCCACTGTGGGGAGAGGGGGCGGGTAGCAGAGAGAGCTGCCCCCAGGCTCTCTGGGGGGAAGGCTGTGGGAAGAGAGGTGCAGATGGGGGGGTATCGGAGGGTCCGAAGTCTCCTTCTTAGTCCCCCCTCAACCCCCCGGGGGGGCGAGCCCAGGTAGTTGCTCCCATCTACTGACTTGGTGTTCAAAGCCCAGGAACCTTCCCCTCCTCTCAGCCTTTGCCTTCCTGCTGTCAGGGGCCTGGCCTTCCCGTCTGCATGACCGTTTCCTTGGCGATCCTCCCCGAGAGCTGGAAAACAGCAGTGGGTGGAAGACAAAAAAAAAGTTTTTTAATTAATATAATAAGACAATCATTGCACAGCCTGATGATGTTAAAGTGTCGTGAATGTAAGAGTTTGATGAACTCAGCCATTTGAATCTGACATTAAATGGGGGGAGGATGTGAGTGGGTTTTTTTTTTTAAGCTTTAAGGGGCTAATAATCTGATGAGGAATGTGAGAGTTTTTCCAGAATTCTAAATGATAGGAATAGGAAACATATTTTACTCGTGGGGACTGGAGAGGGAGAATGTGGTTTGGAAATCGAGGCTGTAAATAATATACAACACAAGAGGGGGCTTTGCAAGAACAAAGGGTTGTGAATTGAGGAGGGTGATTCACTCAGGCCTTAGCACCTGGGACCCAGACCGGTCCGTACACGAGAAGGATAAGGAGCTTGGGAAACCTCCGAGGTTGGCAGGGGTGGGGTGGGGCGTCGGGGGTGGGCTGGGGGGGGGGTGTTAGTATGTTACTAAAGTGGGAAGTCCAGCAATTCCGGGGCCCCAAGTCTGTATCCCTCATCCAGTCCTATTTTAACAGAGATGATCGAGCAGCTGGGAACTCGATGAACCAACAGCTGCTGGTTGAGAGGCGAGGCGTTTTTTTTCTTGGAGGAATTTGTGTCTCATTTCCATTTTCCTCCTCAGGCCCTGGGGCTGCCAGGAGATTAACACCACTTTTAAAAGAAGCACATTCAGAACAGTAGATCCTCCTCCAGAAAACTGGGTCCCCCCCCTCCCGCCCCATCTGGTGTGCAAAACCCTCCCATACCAGACCTAGGAAAGCCAGGCAGGTGCCTCCGTGCCTTTTAAGGGTGGCCAATCTGATAAACACAGAATGCATCTTTTCTTATTTATACCTCTTTGATTACTGGTGAGGGAGAACATTGTATCCTGCACACGTACCGTTCGGTTTACTGTCTGGTGCCCAGGCGTCTGCTGGGCTGGTTGTTTTCTCTTACTGATTTGGGAGCGCTTGAAGGTAGCTGTATCTTGAAATATTAATGCGCTTCCTTCACATTTATTGCAAATATTTTTCCCTCCTCAGGGCCGATTTCCTTCCACCTCTCTTAGAGGAGGCCTAGGTGGTCCACAAATCACGACACTACGCATGGTATTTGGGACCTCTGCGTGTCCTGTTTGCAGTGACTTTACCGCAAGGCTGGGGAGGCCCCATCTGCACCTGGACACTACCCTCCACTCAGCTCACGCAGACAGTAGTGTTCCGTGACCACGGGCCCTTGCCCTCGCATTGTCATAACTCTGCCAGAATTTATATGAGTCCCAGGCCCTCATCGCACTGGTGAGCACTGATTGCCCGTGGGGGGGTGTGTGGGTGAGGATGTGGTTTAAATTCTACATCCCCACTCTATGCCCCAGAAACCCTCGCCAGCTTGCGATTGGCCTGCGCAGGCTTGGCTAGTGTATCAAAAGGCTGCCAGAGTGCGCGAGGTCCCAGCGTCCAAGACGAGAACTTCACGCACTAGCCATGACCGCACAGTCAACGGTCTCCTACCTCTTACCTCTGCTGCTAGTCTGCCTAGTGCAGACAAATCCCAAGCCCGAGAAGATGAAGGTGGGTGACCTCGAGAGGGGGCGGGGCGGGACTCCAAGGTAGATCACCATCCTGTCCTGCGTTAGGCATGCCTGTGACACTCCAGCCTCCGCTTGCTTTCTTCTTGTGCTTTTCCATTAACCTTTCTTTTCTTCTTGCCTCTTCTTCAGTCCTATCAACAGGTGTTCCCTGAGCTGAATCTAGGTGGAGAAGAGTCTCCTTACTCTGGTCGTTACTCTTTTCCATCTCTGGTTAGGGTCTCTTGGGTACCCTTCCAGCCACTTCAGATTCAGCCTCAGGGCCGGGCCCGAGGCATGAGACGGGGGCGGGCATCACAGTGGGCAGCAGGGTTTGGAGGAGACCTTGGGCTAAGTCATCTCAGTGGGACACCCATGAAGAGGAGGAAAAAAATCAGTGTGGAAGTTTTACAGATGGACGAAGTCAGAGAGCTATCAGAATCAAAGCACGCGCAGAAACCACTGGAGGACTGGAGGTCTACAGCGGCTGGATTTGGAGTCAGGAGTCTTGGCTTCTGGCCTCAGTCTAGTCCCAGTTCACAGCTCAGTTGCCTCATTGATGAGACGCATGTGTGCAGCAGGGGAGGGCAGCTCAGGGACGGATAGTCGTGATCCAGGTGACTTGGAGGCAGGATGGAATCATGGAGAGGCGAGCAAACTCTCATCCATAGTGGGGTGATCACTTTTGGTCACCCTTCTTCTCTGTTAGCCTCTGCCTTCTCATTACGAAGTTGTGGGCAACTTCTACCTCGTGTGTGGGTGAGCAGCAATTATGATGGGTACAATGTGTTCAGTAAAAGGCAGTTCTGGAAACATCTTCCTACTGCTCTGAAATTGGCCAGAGGATGCTCTACTTTTGAGAGTTGATGTGGTTTTCTGTTACTCAGTGCTGCCTGATTGGGTATGAAGCCCCTGGACCCTGGGCTGTAGAATTTGCTTAATACAAAGCTGAGTCAGGAGGTATAGGAGATCTGTCACGGGTACTTAGATACGTTGGAAGCAGCACTGAGTCTCAGCAGTAAGTACTGAAAAGGGCTCTCCAGGTCCAGAGTCTCTAAATCCCCACACCTGGTTCCCAACATGATTGTAATTTTCATTGCAGCAGCAAAGGGGGAAAAAAAGACAAATTCTTAAAACTGTTCACCTTAGCACCCAGCCTCATGGTGATGGAGAGGGGTGCTGCCACATAATGTTCTCAGTTCTGCTGGTGTGTGTGTGTGCGTGTGCACGTGCGCGCGAGCGTGCACTCAGTGCAGAAGCCTGCTTACAGAAGCACTTCTGCCCAGGAGCAGGGACGGAGTCCCACAGCCTGCAGCGCCAGCGGGAGCAGCAGCCGCCCTGAAGGCTGGGGAGAGGCCGGCTTTGTCTGTGTGGCATCAGGGCAGGTGGTGGTTGGCTAGAGTCCTTTCTAGTCCTTTGGATTTCCAGGGGGCCTGGCTTAATCCTACTTTAACTGTGGGCCTTCCTTATCACATTACGTCCTTCTGCCCTTTCTCTGATCAGTTCCTGTTTGGCTCTGTTTCACCACGTAGCTTCCTTTTCACACTCCCTGGATTCCGTGAGCGACGGGCAGCTCCTTTCCTGATGTAGGGAAAGGGGTCAGGCTGTGCTGATGAGCACCGTGGAGTCAGCCCTTCGGGTCCTTCATGGACTCTACACGGTTCGAGTGGGGGAAGAATAAGGTGAGATCTGCCTTGTGGAGGAGTTTAGCCTAAGATCAGGCAGCAAGAATGTCGTGTACGACGTATTTCTGTTCTGTGGAACATATTTGTGTCACATAGAGTTCCGCTCACATCCTCTCAGGAGATCTGAGGAGGAACAGGGCAGACGGAGCCAGTGATGGAGCCAGTGTTCGATTCCGAGAGTGCGATGCAGGGGGGGGGGGGGGTTGACTACGTGATCGGGTGCTGCCGGGCAGGGGCCCGCGGCGGCAGATGGACTTGAGCCCTCGCTCTCCTCTGCTGGGAGCTACAGGCGCATGACTGTCGTGGCTCGTAAAACCATCACACGAGTAAGAGACGTGAGAGACAGAACTATTCCAGGCAGGGCTGACGTTAGGTTCTAGAGTATGAAACCTGGAGGGCCTCCTGGCGACCTGCTGGGAATCTAGGTGAACGTGTTCGTGTTCCCACGGGGACGCTGAGGCCGGCGGTGAGGCCAGCCCAGGTTCGCAGGGGACTGGGCCGCGGAGCTGGCTCCAGACCCCCAGGCCAGAGTTCCTTCCATGCCGCCCTGGTGCGTGGAGCAAGCGGCCGGGAGGCCTCGGGAAAGTTCCAGAAGTGACCAGGCCGTCCTCGGATGCGTAAGCCGTCCACACCTTCCCTTCACGGGAGAGTTCAGGCGCGACACCTTTCGTCCAGAACCAACAGAAAACCTCACTTTCACAGACTCACGAAAGGCAGGGAGTTCTCTTTGGCCTCCCTTACTTCCAGGGCTTTCTACCCCAGCTCGTGAATCTCTGCTCCTTTCATCTCGTCCCGGCACGTTTCCCGGGGCCCCACCTCTCCCAGGAAAACAGGAGGGGACACTGGACTGCCTGCTGCTCTAAGGCCATCGGCTCTCAAGTCACAAGACACCAGTTTCCATCGTGTCGTGGACGCCTTAGACTTGCCCTGTTTGCTGGCTTGTTTCCGGTCAACGCAGGCATTACTGCTGAGTGCCCTGACAGATTTCACACGTGTTAGGACCTGTTACTAATACTTTCCTTTCTCAAAATCTCCCAGATGGACTGCTACAAAGATGTGAAGGGCACCGTCTACGAATACGACGCCCTCACTCTCAATGGCAAGGAGCACATCCAGTTCAAGCAGTACGCGGGCAAGCACCTGCTTTTCGTCAACGTGGCCACTTACTGTGGTCTGACCGCCCAGTACCCTGGTACGGATCCAGGGCCAGTGACCTCGGGGCTACATCTTCCAGCTGAGTTTATTCGGAATCATAAGTAGAATTATATTCTAATTACGTATTGAAGTAAATCCTCACGACCAAGTGACTTCCTTCCCTGATGTCAGGAGCCAGCAAGCAATGGCCCAGAGGCCAAATCTGGCCAGCCTGTTTCTGTGAACAAAGTTTTATGGGGACACAGCCATGCCCATGTGCTTATATACTGTCTGTGGCTGATTTTGTCTCAAGGCAGAGATGAGTGGTTGATGAAGAAAGAAAGAGAGAGAGGAGGGGAGGGAGATGGGAAGGGAGGGGGGAGGGGGGGAAAGGAAAGGAAAGGAAAGGAAAGGAAAGGAAAGGAAAGGAAAGGAAAGGAAAGGAAAGGAAAGGAAAGGAAGNGAAGGGAGGGGGGAGGGGGGGAAAGGAAAGGAAAGGAAAGGAAAGGAAAGGAAAGGAAAGGAAAGGAAAGGAAAGGAAAGGAAAGGAAAGGAAGAAAGAAAGAAGAGAGAAGAAAAGAAAGAAAGGTAGAGAGCGAGAAAGGAAGGGAGTGAGGGAGGGAGGGCAGGAGGAAGGAAGGAAGAAAAAGAAAGAAAGAGGAAGAAAAAGAAAGAAAGAGGAAGGAAAGGAAAGGAAAGGAAAGGAAAGGAAAGGAAAGGAAAGGAAAGGAAAGGAAAGGAAAGGAAAGGAAAGGAAAGGAAAGGGAGAAAGGACTAGGAGGCGGTACCTGCTGAGCAGCTGGCTGTGGAAAATCTGCATGGGTCTGGCTGGTGTTTGTCAGGGGACGGATACCATCTAGCCCAGGAAGGGTTAACAAAGATGTTGATTATAAAAATCTGAGCAAACAGATGGGAAAGCAGTGGAAGGAGGCAGGCAGCCTGTGTGAGGACTGAGGGAAGCACATCATCAGCACCCCGAGGAGTGCTGAAGCACACTAGGGAGCTGGGCTTGGACTTCCTCGGGCTCTCTCTGCCCAGCCGGGCCATTCCTGCTCCACACAGGGACCCAGTCTGTACCCAGGAGAGAAGCCCATCATCATCTGTGTCTTTTTCTGGGAAAAAAAAAAAAAAAAAAGGTTCAGTCCTGCAATTAACCAATCAGGGAAGGCAAGTTTTTGTTGTTGTTTTTTTTAAACTGTGGTTAACAAAAGATATAACATAAAATTTTCACTTATAACCATTTCCAAGTGTACTGACCAGCGGTGTTAAGGGTATTCACATTCACGTGTCTGGAGACAAATCTCCAGAACTTTTTCAAACTGCCAAACTGAAACCGAGCCCATTAAATACCCACCTGTGCGCTCCTGTTACACTCCACAGTAACCTGGTGAGGTTTTAAATAGTAAAGATAGCGGGGGGCCACGTCAGAAGAAGGGACTCAGAGAACCCTCTGGATGGGCAGCCTTGCTTTTCCGGAAGGGCCGATTCTGATGTGTCACGGACTTGGGAAATATTACCCTATAATAAAGGGCTTTTGAATGCAAGTCTGGAGGTCCAGAATCTACCTCCAGCCCCATCACTAAAAGTCTTTCAGTCTAGAGACTTTTCCTTCCCTGGACCTCTGTCTCCTTCTCTATGGTGGCTCCACAGATCTTTCTGTACACAAGGCAGGGTCTCCAGATACCCGATGGTCTCTTCTCTTCCCACAGAACTGAACGCGCTTCAGGAGGAGCTGCAGCCCTTGGGCCTGGTGGTGCTGGGCTTTCCCTGCAACCAGTTTGGGGAGCAGGAGCCAGGAGAGAACTCAGAGATCCTTCCAGGGCTGAAGTAAGTGCCTGCCTAGAACCTACGGAGGCCTCTGGCCACTTTTCTTGTCTGCACGGGCACTTTCACACTGGGGCTTCCTGGGTGGGTTGGGGGCCCCTGCACACTGACCTCAACTTTGTCCTCTCCTGATGTGTCTGGACACTCTCCTTCTCCCTGGGGGTGAGATCTGGATGGACCTCAGAGGAGCAGGACCACAGAAGGAGCTGGAAGAGACTCAGTGTGGGGGCAGGGGCTCACGCTGTGCCTCAAGAAAAATTACGTGAATCAGGGAACCCGGGGTGAAGAATGGCCTGATTTCCCCAGCCCCCAGCCCTGGTGCCCACCCCGCCCCCAGCCTTCTCTCCTACACCCGGGGCTTCCTGGCCACCTGTGGCTCATTGCAGGTATGTGCGTCCAGGGAGAGGATATGTACCGAATTTCCAGCTTTTTGAGAAAGGGGATGTGAATGGTGAAAAAGAACAGAAAGTCTTCACCTTCCTGAAGGTGAGTGAGTTACTGACCCAAACCTCTTCTTCCCTCTGCCCTTCCTTACAATCAGCGTGGGGGAAATGGACCCAAGACTCATGCTTGTAAACGGCATTGGACTCTTTGCAAGAGATCCCAGGTTAGCAGAGGGATCGGGGTTTAATTTGTCAGCATTTGCGCGGCTCTGGCTTTTGTGATGGAGAGCGCTGTGTAGCGGCCGTGTTTCTGAACACGGACCACCCTGGTTTGTTCGTTGACATTCATTCATTCAAGGTACATTTGCTGATTCTAAGGCAGTTTCCTGAATAACATGGATATAAAGAAGAACAAGACACAGTCCCTACTCCTTGATGGGTTCATATTGGAGATGTAGAAATCAACAGGTTAATACCACGTAGTAAGTGCCTTTTATGAAACACTGACTTTTAGATACAGAGAACTGGAGGCTGAGAGGGCTGGAAACCACCAGCGTTAACTGTTCCTAAATGCTGGGCTGCGGGCCGATGCTGGCTCACATCAAGGTTTTTATACACCCTCAGCAAATTGAAGAAAACAAGACATAAACTCAACTGACTTACAGGGTTTCCCGCTAGTCTCAGATTAGGATCTATATGTAACTTATTCTTACAGTAACGTTTTTTAAAGTATTTGATGAAGTGATGCCGTTTCTAAAAAGCTTTATTATTTGGTGAAACAAAATGTTAGAACTCCGTGTTGGTCCCAAAGACATTTGTGAGATGCTTCTCGTCCAGGATTCCTAAGACCTGGGGAAGCACATTCTAATCTAAGCCATTCACTTTGCAGAATGGGACACTGACAGCCATGGAGGTGACGTTTCTTACCCACAGCAGCATGGCTGCGTGATCACAGGGGTCATCGGGGAGCAGGGAAGGGAACAGACTTTTTCTGTAATGCCTACAGCCATCTTGATGGTTGGCGTGGTGGCCAGAGGAGTCGTTGGGAGTCACGGGAAGGAAGTCAGTATCTCGGCATGGGAGGGGGCGGGTTCCCTGCGGGTGAAAAGAGCAGAAATGATGTTGTTTCTCTGTTCATCTCTGGTGCAGATCTCCTGCCCTCACCCCTCTGAGCTTCTGGGCTCTTTCAGACACATGTCCTGGGAGCCGGTCAAGGTCCACGACATCCGCTGGAACTTTGAGAAGTTCCTGGTGGGGCCCGACGGGGTCCCTGTCATGCGCTGGCTCCACAAGGCTCCCGTCAGCACCGTCAGGTCGGACATCCTGGCGCATCTGAAGCAGCTGAGAACGAAATAGGATGGCGCGTGCGGCGCGGGAGCCATCTGCGGCTCATCTGAAGACCTGTTTTTAAAAATTCCGTGTTTCACTACGCTCTCTCCCCAAACGGCTTCCACTTGACTCGGTGGGTCTATACCGCTGAAGATCCCCCTCCCCACCAAGTAGATTCACGCTCAGAAGCTCCTGCGACTTGTGGGAGAAGCACAGGAGTGGAAACCCTACCCCGCAGATCGCTGTTATAAAGGCAGTCACTCCTCTCCGTCAATGCAGATCAGCCTTCCGTGAGGACGGCTCAGTCCGCCACAAGGCCCTGAAGAACGAACACTGGACACAGGGCCCGCGCTTCTCTCTCCGCCCCGCAGGTGTAGAAGGAGCTGCGGGGTGGGGGCCACACAGCCTGGGTTCCATCCCGTAACATTTTCTCTCCCCTGAGGTCCAACATGGAATGTCAGTTTCCCAGTCTTTCCAGATCGGTGTTCACCCGTGACACCCACCGTCCCGCACGCACACCGACCTGTCATTCTGGTTTAGGAGCCCTCGGGCGGGCTGGGAGCAGCAGGCTGCCTCGCATGAAGGGAAGGGCACCTCCATGGCGGCGGCCCCAGCCTCTCTCTCACTTGGATCTTACCGAAGCTCCCCTAGTGTCTGACGTCCAGTGCACTCAGGCTCCGGCACCCGGGCCAGGCACCCTTGGAAGGATGGGCTTTCCTGCCTCCACCCTCAGCTTCGCAGCCAGCCCTGCGCCGTCTCCAATAAAATGTTTTCTGCAGCATTTGACATCACTGTGGTGGTTTTTATACCTTGTCTTTTTTTTTTAATATTTTTATTTATTTCTAGGAGAGAGAGAGAAATAGCGTGAACAGGGTCAGAGAGAGAGGGAGTCACAGACTGAAACAGGCTCCAGGCTCTGAGCTGGCAGTCAGCACAGAGCCCGACGCGGGGCTCGAACCCACAAAGACCTAAGTGGAAGTCGGACGCTTAACCGACTAAGCCACCCAGGAGCCCCTTTTATACCCTGTCTTGAGCTCAAACTTGTCTCATCTGTCTCTTCTTTCTCACTGTGACTACCACAGACGGTGTGTTTCCTAAATTACCTTAAGCCCTTGCCTAGAAGGAATTATCATCCCAGACCCTTGGAAGGCTGTCACCTGGTGGCTCTGAATTGTCACCCCCAGTTAGGAGTTGTCTCAGGTCAAAGTCATGTCCCCCTTCCAGGGGCAGCTTATATCTAGTTACGGTCAGCAGAGGGTATAAAAGGCAAGACCTGACTTCTGAACTTGGGACCACTCTGAAGGGCCCATCCCAGCTGTGGAGACCCCCAAGGGTCTGACGCCTTTCTCTTGACCCTGAAGTAGTGTTCCAGGAAACTCTGAATGCGAATCTCCATCTTTGAGTCTTTACAGGTAACCAAAGTGGATCTGAGAAAGACACTAAGATGAGAGTTTTGAAGCTGAAGTCCCTGCCCTCTGGCTGGCAGTGACGGGGGGGGGGGGCAGGGGGGCACAACAGCAGGGGACAGACGAGCAGGTGCAGCTTTTACAGCTCTCACCGAACCCGCATGAGGTGGTTATGCTGGTGGAGGGTTGGAGATGATTAAGAGAACACAGCCTCCCTAGAAGCAGGGTAGATGAATGGCCAACAAGGTGTATCACTGGCTGTACAATCAGAAGAAACCAAGAATACATAACCAGGAGACTGAGGGGAGCAGCCCCAGTTAAAAACAGAATCACAACCTGGCTCAGTTCTGATCTTGAACCGCAGGAGAAGCCAAGTGCTGAGGAAGCAGGACCCTGCGACACCACCACAAATGTGGAGAATATAATTTCCCCACTCCTTCCCTAAAGGGACTTGTGACCATTCATTCAGGGGCCATAAAATCAAGAAGGAGAAACACCCTCACATTTCAAGGACTGTTGTAAATAATGTCCAAGCTGACATTGTACCAGAAGGCTTACCGTGTCTTCGTGCCCCTCCCCCTGCCTCCCCCCCTGGTTAGAAGAGAGGTTACAGGGTCCAGGCAGCAGATGGAGTCCTGGCCCAGGGCTGGTTCGTCCACTAAGGCTGTGGATCCATCTGGTAGAAATTTCTCCTGTCCCCAAATGTATGATTAGAATGGTATTTATGGAAGGTGGTTCAACCGGTACCTTGACTTCTTGGCATGTGGTCTAAGGAGCGATCAGAGTTAAGAGGCCGCGAGGAAGGCCCACAGCTGACTCCCCGGTTCCCAGATGGGCCAGTTAACGAGGCCGTTCAGGTGAATGGAAACTGGCCTCCCAGGGAGAGGGACAGATGAGCCACAAGGAGGCACAGTTGGGTCCCTATAGTATCTCCACTGAATGCACCAGTTTGTTCCCTACAAGGAGTAAAAGAAAGGTCCTGGAAAATGACAGTGGACGACCCACCACAGACTAAACCAAGGAACAGCCCTAATCAAAACTGCTGCACTTGATGTGGCAATTTTGTTAGAAAACATTCATTTATGTCTTTTGATTCGTTAAAGAAATAAGCGGAAAATGAGATTTAGCATAACCTTTTTCGGAACCACTAGTTTAAAAAAATCATCTGGGGGCGCCTGGGTGGCTTAGTCGGTTAAGCGTCCGACTTTCGCTTAGGTCATGATCTCGCGGTTCGTGGGTTCGAGCCCCGCGTCGGGCTCTGTGCTGACTGCCAGCTCAGAGCCTGGAGCCTGTTTCAGTCTGTGACTCCCTCTCTCTCTGACCCTCCCCTGCTCACGCTGTCTCTCTCTCTCCCCTAGAAATAAATAAAACATTAAAAAAAAAAATTAAAAAAATAAAAAAAATAAAAAAAATAAAAAAATCATCTGAACGCCATAATAAAATCTTACCCTTGACTCATTATACTTTCTATACATCCCAACACTACCATCGTATACCCAAACCTGGCTCAGAGAACACCGACATTTGTTTAGAAAGTGCTAAGGACTCTTTGGGAAGGGTCAGAGACTGACTTCTCAGCTAGAAAAGCCACATCCCTACTCAGAAGACAATGTTTATGGTTTTGGGGTCAGAGACAAGAGGGGGCCACCGGGTTGGCAGATGTTTGGCCCTTCCCCAGGACCAAGTCTGAGCTAGCTCTTTAGCTCAGGCTGGACTATTCCCAGGAAGAGAAGACAAGGGATCAGAAGGAAAGACAGCCCCTGTTCTAGAGCGATGGTGCTTCAACTCTAAACTGTAACTCAGCACCAAATATTTTCTTCATCAGAAAACAGGCAAAGACATCCAGCAGCACTGATTAAACTGTGGTATATGAGTGGGCGGACTGAACAGTGTGCAAATGTGTACTAACGTGGAGTGATGAGTCCTTACAACAGGTCCCACCCGACAGCAAGGGCTACATATGTGTTTCCTTTAGCTTTCCCATCGCTGGAAATAGTTTATGTTATAGTGTTAAATAAAGATAAAGTAATAGAGCAGCTCAGGAGCCACCCCTCCCCCCCCCAACATAGAGAGTTTGTACCAAGCCCCGTTCCTGGTGCTTGAATACCCCTCCCCCACTCCACTGCTGAAGATGAAGATGCCATCCTAGGCGCACATGCTCTTGGCCATGACTGTGTACACTCTACTGGTTCTTTCTGTCTTATGTCCTCATCACTGGAAGAATAACTTATGATGTTACTGTTGAGCCTCCAAGTGCTGTCTGTATGATGGACGAACATGGGTCAGGGGCCAGTAGCTTCCTTGGCCTGCAGAGCAGATGGACAATATATGTGCAAGGACTTGCATCCAGCTTCCATTTACAACAGAAGACTCAGGTTTCCTAATCCTGCACAGATCCAACATACCAAACATTTCAAAACTCAGTAGGTGTCTTCTTCTAACTCACTAGATTTGTCTGTGTCTTGTTGAGTTTGTCATGGCTACGGTATTCAAGAGAAAGAAACTGCCAGGCTATCTGATGTTAAAATGCCTTTTGAGAAGAAATCAGTGGACATTGGATTTGATCCTGTTAACAAAGTATTAAAGGCTGTTCTGACCCTCTGATGTGACGTATGGAAATGAATGGAAAGCAGCAGCAAAGTGAACACTTCATCTAGTGAGAACACAGGAGCATATTAAAGCCAGAGCTAGAATGTCCACTTGACATCAGAGACACAAACTCATCACAGTACTTTTCCCTGATGGCCCATACTGATGTCCCAGCCCTGTTGAGTGGCATTTCCTTCTTCATTTTTCATTTCTAATTTTTTTTTAACATTTATTTATTTTTGAGAAACAAAGAGGGGCAGAGAGAGAGAGGGAGACACAGAGTCCGAAGCAGGCTCCAGGCTCCAAGTCAGACTAGAGCCTGATGTTGGGGCTTGAACTTACGAACCCTGATATCATGACTTGAGCCACCCAGGTGCCCCTTAGTTTTTCATTTCTTAGACTCCATTTCTACAACTGTAATACTGAATAAAGTGATTGTTTTTTACAGTCTTTTTCACATATTTTGGAGATGATACTTCTGACTTTTAAAAATTAATGTAAAATTAGGAACTGAGATCCCATAAATGGAGAGCTCTGGACAGATAGTCAGCTTTACCTACAGGGCTCTGCCTCTAAACAGAGTGTGTGACAGTACATTACTTCAGATATGTATGCAAGGCTGTTTCCTGCACAATAAAATGTATGAGAACTGCAGAAATAATGTTTTTAGTTTAAAAAATACATAAATGCATATCTTATATAATATGTATGTGGGTAGGTACAAGTGTGTATATGTGTGTGTAGAGTTACAGCCATGCCCACTCCAAAAACACTCCAAGGAAAACCTTCAGAGAACAAAGTGTGAAATGAGCTACAACAGATCAAACAATGGGTTTGAGCGTGAGACCTTAGAAAATTTCTCCAGTAATTATCACATTGTTTCCTGCGTTTCCTTAGCCAGGTTGCAGCTGTATATTCGCAAAACAGTGCTTTTCCTGAAGGAAATATTAGCTCTCCGAAGGTTTCAGGGTAGGAAAGTGTTTTAACATTGTGGGGTCAGAATCGAGGGGGGAGGGGTCGGGCGCGCAGGTGTCCCAGCGCGAAGAAGGCCCGCGGGGGACCCCAGCTGGAAATGCGGGTGGAATTCCCTCCTGGGCTGGGGGGGGGGGGGGGGGAAGGAGGCTCCTCCGAAGGTAGGAAGTCGGCTTCACGGGGAGCCGTTTGGACTAATGCGACCTCCTGTCGTTAAACGGTTTCCAACGTCAGCCCAAGTTTAGGGAAGTCGCAGGAACGCGAGGAAAATCGGATGCGGGTGCTTGCGACCCTCCGCCTCCGCCCCCGGCTGGCGGGGGACCCCGGGGACCCCGGGGACCCCGGGCCCACGCGGCGGGAAGCTCGCTCGCACGGCTCCCCTCCCGCGGACGATGCCGCCTTCGGCCGCGCACCTACATTAACGACACCTCCGCGCCGCACACCCGCGCGGCTCCAGTGGCGCAATCGGTTAGCGCGCGGTACTTATAAGACAGTGGCCGGTGAGCGATGCCGAGGTTGTGAGTTCGAGCCTCACCTGGAGCAGCTTTTACCGCTCTGCCTGCGGCCCGAAAGCATTCCCGGGAGCAGAGGGGGCCCCTTTCGGGGAGAGCCGCGGAGACGCACGTCCTCCTCGAGCCCCCAGTCTGGGCCTGCAGGGCGGGCACCCCGCGATTTTGCGACAGCCGCAGCTAGTGGTTGCCGGTTGCCGGGAGAATTGCTCAGAGCATGAGAGACTCGCCCAGGGCCCAGTACACACAGAAATTATAAAAACACTGCAAAATACTCCTAATTTTTTAAATGCACAAAATCAGCTTTTTAAAAAATAAGTATTTCAGTGGAAAAATCTGCTTTGCACCTGTTTCCTTACCTTGGTTTCTTCGCTCCTCTGGGCTTGGTCGGGGGGGCTCGCCGCTCGGGTCCGCGGTGCCTGCGGTTTGCGCTGACGACACAGGTGCTCAGGCTCAGAAAATGAAGTGCCCGTCACCGCCTCCGAGGGGCGTCGGAACCCCCGCGTGCGGCCCAGGTGACGTCACCGTCTGGGTGTGAAGTGTTGCCTGGAGACACAGTGCCCAGCCCCCCCGGGGACGTGTGACGCTCCCCGCGCAGAGGCTGAGCACCTGCTGTTCTCCTGGCGCGGGATGGTTTGCAGTGTCCACGCCCCCCCCGTCCACCCCCCCCGTCCACCCCCCCCCCCCCCCCCCCCCCCCCCCCCCCCCCCCCCCCCGTCCACCCTGCACAGGTAGGTTCACAACCAGGCTCACAGACCAACTTAGATGAGCCCTGGATAAAGAAGCGATCGTGGGTAATTTACTTACCAACACGGACAACGGACATACCAATAGAGGTTCTTCACAGAGTTGTTTCCAGCGTTACAGACGCAATTATCGATTAATTCGCCACAAATTCCTTCCATCTCCAGCGTGTCCCTTCACAGTGTGATCTCGCAGTCTCTCCCGTCAAGACGCGGGGTCTGCCCCTCTCCCTCCTGGACGCGGGCTGATCGTGTGAGTGACCCCGACCGACACAGCGCTCTGGAAATGATTTTGCAGGAGTTCCAAGGTGAGGCCTTGACCCGCGCTGCGGCCTCCCCTCCTGTCCTCTGGGGGCCCTGGGGCCCACTACTGGACGAAGTCCCAGCTGACCTCCCAGAGGGGGTGGTCACATGGAGAGAGGGGCGCTGCCATGCCAGCCATCCCCCTGACTCCCCAGACATGTGGCTGGGGACCTTTGGACCATCCGGCCCTAGGCAGACTGGCAGACGACTGCAATCGGGGACTGGCCACAGCAAAGCCCGGATTGTTGGCCTGCAAAGTTGTAGGGAAAAAAAGGTAAGAAACAATTATTGTTTTAAGCCAGTAAATTTGGGTGACATTTGTTACAATGATATAGATGACTGATAAAAGCACTTAACACAGAATAAGAACCCAAGATAAGTTAGCCGATTATTACTTGGGGGATCTTCTCATTGTCCCAAGCATTGGGTCCTCTCTGCTCTTGCCAGAGGTTAGATACTCCAAAATTATATGGCCCAGCCACTCCACTGGTAGGTACTTATCCAGGAAAAATGAAAGAATATATCCATACAAAGGCTTATACATAACTGTTCAGAGCAGCTTTATTCATAACTGGAGATAATGTAAATACTCATCAGCAGCCAGATGGATGAACTACGGTATGTCCATATAACAGAATACTAGCTAGCAATGAAAAGAAGTAAATTATTGATACAAGCATCATGGATGAATCTCAAAATAATGATGTGAGTGCAAGAATAAAGAGAACCCATATTGTAGGATTTCATTAACAAACATTCCTAATAACTACAAGTTATGGAATGTTTCATAACACTGCAAACATAATGACAGGAAGCTGTGCCTGTGGGAGGGGACGGGGGTTACAGAAGGGCATTGATGGACATTTTGGGGGGTGATGTCTGTGTTCATTTACTTTTATTGTGGTGATGGCTTCATGAGCTCTGTCACACTCACACATATGTCTACATATATGAAGTTTATTTTAAGCGAATTATGCCTCATAAAGCCATTTAAAATGTACACTAGCTAAATAAAATAAAATAAATAAAATAAATGTACATTAACTGGAAAACAATCTCATTATGGCCTTCTGCAAACGTAATTGGGGGTCTTGCCCCTACACTGTGGAAGCATCCCCTACCCGCCCTGGGCTCGCCCCGCAGCAGGAGCAGGGAGCGTCGGCCCGGCTGTGCGGGGGCTGATGCCCGGGCACCTCGGGGGTGCGGGATGCAGGCGGGCTCAGGGGCCTCCCCCCAAGGCAGGTGCGCGGGAAAGGGGTGAAGAGCCAGCAGGTGGAGGCGGGGGTCCTGGGCCATCTGCTAACAGGTCAGACCCCCCCCACTCTCTTCCCCAACCGAACGGTGTGGTGGGGGGGGGGGGGACCCGGGTCCAGGCCCCGAGTTACGTCCGATCAGATTTATTTCTTCTTTGAACCGTTTGAGGAAGTCCTCGGTCGGCCGCAGGACACGGGACCTTGTCAGTGCGAGGACTGGCGACAACTAATTCACAACTTTCATAGGTTGAGAGTGTTCACAACTGATACTCCTCGTGACGCTCCCTTGACACGCCACGCGGCCTACATTTGTCACTTCGTCTAAACACTCAGGCGTGTTCGGCCAGGGTCTTGGCACTTTGGCAGTAGCTGCTCTCTCTCTCTCTCTCTCTCTCTCTCTCTCTCTCTCTCGGTCCTGGGTCCCTGCGCCCCGCGCCGGGGCAGGTCGGGGTCTCGGCGCTGGGTCCCTGCGCCCCGCACCGGGAAGGTGGGGGGGGGGGAAGGTGGGGGAGGGTCCTGGTGCCCCGGGAAGGCGGAGGAGGGTCGCCGCTGGCTGACCTCCCATCCCACACAACCTGGGCACCTGCCTGGCACGGGGGGGAGGGGACCCGGCTGGCGCGTCTCCCACTCACGTGTGTCGCTTATCCTTCCGGGGACTGGAGGGTCCACAAAGATGTGAGTGTGAAAAAGGGAGGAGCAACCACGAAGGGATTCGAACCCTCAATCTTCTGATCCGAAGTCAGACGCCTTATCCATTAGGCCACGTGGTCCAACGGTTTTGCTGCCACAAAAGCTACAACAAATGTTGCGAGTCTAGACTCTGTTCTCCAAACTGAGGGCGCCGGCTCGTTGATCTCGGTTTGCTGGCTGCCTGGCGCCACCTGCCGGCAAGGCGCGGCCGCCCTCCGCGCGCCCCGGCCCCGCACCCCCGTCGGCCGCCGCGCTGCCCCCAGCTGTAGAGACGGAAGAAAAGGACCGGACGTCCCTCTGTGATCAGGGCCACAGACTCTCAGGTCATCTTGACGGTGCGGAATGGGGACGCCCTGGGAGAAAAGGAAAGCGACCAGGAGGGGACAGTGAGCCCCTCCCGCGACCACTCGCTCCGCCGCAACACCGCGGGGACAGCGTCAGGTAGGGCGGGATCCAGGGCCTCCTGGGCCTGCGCTCCTGGAAGCGGCACGAGCCGCCAGGGCCTCCCGGGACCTTGTACGAAGCCCCCCCCCCCGCCCCCCCGCCCAAGGTCCCAGACACTCCCTGCACGACCGAGAGACGGCCGTCTGCTTGGAGCTGCACTTGCGAATAGCCCTAAATCGTTAAATAGACTGAATAAATAGTCCATTTTTTTCCCACAGAGAAAACTACAAACCCAGATATTTTCATCTGGAAGTTCTACAAAATATTCCAAGGAGATAATTTCAACTGGACATAAACCCTTCCAAACATAGCCACAGAGAGAAGTATCTCCATCTCATTTTATAAAACTGACTTCATCCTAATGTCAAAGCCAGGTGAAGACAGCGTGAGAAAGGAAAATCACATGCTAATTTCATTCATGGAGTAAAGGCAAATATCCTTTAAAAAAATAAAAAAGCAAATTAGATCCAACAGTGTTTTAAAATTGTGAGGAGCTTGGGTTTATACCAAAAATAGAACGTCAATTTAGCATTACAAAAGTTTTTATGATTCAGCACATCAAGAAATTAAAAGAAAAGCATTATGTTCACTTAACAGTACAACAGTACAAACAGAAAAAGCATGTAATAAATTTCATTGTCCACCCCTAACACAACAATCTGGATATAGAAGGAAATTTATTTAACCCGATTTTTAAAATACAAGAATAATACAAGAAAACGATACTTGAAGGCAAAAAATGCAAACCATTCTGTTTGAGGCTGGGGACACGCAGAGTGTCCCAGGAATGGCCACTTCTGTTCCCTATGAGACAAAAGGAAAATGAAAAGGTGTAATGACTAGAAAGGAAGAAACAAAGTTCCCTTTTTAAAAAAACAGACTGTAAAAGATCAACTAAACAAACAAAAATAAATGATTATAATTAGTAAAAGAGTTTCAACACATTTTGCTGACAGCTATAAAAATTTACAAGAGCAATTACATGCAGTAAAGAAAAATCTGGATACCACACAAAACAAGATAGTAACATGATAATATTTCAATAAGAAATTACCCCAAAACAAATATAGCATGGTTTCATGTATAGAAACTACAAACTAAATATACTAAATAATCTGTTTTTATGGATATATATATATATATATATATATATGCAAGAGAATGATTACCATAAGTGTTATTATACTGGTTATTTCAGAGTGAGAGAGAGAGAGAGCAAATGGAAATATTCTCTTTCTTAATTAGTGACTTTTCCTTTTTAATAGCAGTATAAAAAGCATGTTGGAAAGTGCTTAAACATACCTGTATACAGATCACTGAATGTTTACAAACAGAACATATCTATGAACCTTCACCCAGATCTTCTGTTCCAATAGCATATATAAGTAGAATTATACAGTATGTACTCCTTTATGCCTGGCCTCTTGTGTAGCAGTGTGAGATTCAACCATGTTGTTGCAGTTAACAATGTTCTTTTTTGTTGAATTGTATGAATATGTCACAATTTATTTATCCCTTCTGCTCATGATGGACACTTGGGTTGTCTCCAGTTTGGGGATATCATGAACAGGGCTATTTTTTTAAACGTTTATTTATTATTGAGAGACAGAACATGAGCAGGGGAGGGGCAGAGAGAGGGGGGGACACGGAATCCAAAGCAGGCTCCAGGCTCTGAGCTGTCAGAACAGAGCCCAACGCGGGGCTCGAACTCACAAACTGTGAGATCATGACCTGAGTTGAAGACGGACACTTAATCGACTGAACCACCCAGATGCCCTGAACGGGGCTATTGAGAACACTCCTGTAAATGTTTTCTGTGTATGGACCTCTGCACAAATTTTTATTGGGTATTATAACTAGGAAGTTGACTATTACTGATGTTTGCTGATAGCTTTCAAGACCCATCACTCTCTCACATCTAAAGCAGCTCGTAGGAAAGTGCAGAAGCTCTCTCTCAGCACCGGTGCGAAAGTACCACCACACTAAGCCCAGCCCTGCGCCTCCTGCTCTCTCAAACCGTTTGAGACCTGCTTGGGAGTCTTGTCTGCTCTCCCCAGAAAGCCTCATAATGTGGGTAAACATGTTCTTAGCTTCCTGGTGCATGTACAGCGTTATCAGTCTTGTGATTTAAACCAAGTGTGGGGGTGGGGGGAGACCACTTACTTTGAGCTGAATGACAGCAGGACAGATACGTACTTAGGAGTGGACTTGCTGGGCCACCACAGGCATGCTGAACTTTACTGCAAACCCTTTTGCAAGAAGCATGTGTGATTTCCACACATCTGTAATTACATATAAAAGCAAGGGACACGTTGAAAACAGATAAATATGACACAGGACAAACTAGACAAAAAGGTGGATGAGCGGCAACCTTCCCAACCAACTCAGTGTCAAGCACAGGACTTTGTTTCAACACCATGGGAATGCCTGTGTCACAAGGACTGATCTCACAGTAGTGACGGTTCCCCTGAGGGTCCGGTCCCTTCCGTGGCGGCGTCTTCGTGCACACAGCACAGGTAACGGGGCTCACGGCAACGGTCTCAAGTGGAAGCTGGCCCACAGTGAGAGCTGCCTTAGGACGGGAAAGTGACCTTGCACAGCGAGGAACTGGGTGGACAGTCCAAATGCAGACTTCAGTTGATTGTCCCAGTTTGAAAGAATTGAAGCCCCTGACCAGTGTTTATAGGGGACAGGGAAGATTAGGGTGTCACCTCCGCATCCATACAAAACACATTCTTCCATCTTTAAAAAGTATAATTGCTCCTTGCGTACACTTCTCCAACACCGTAGAGGGCTCAACGACCCCAGGCTCCGGATTATGCTCCAGTCTCTTTGAGGACATCAGTTTCAACCTACTGCTGCCAATATTCTTGTGTGTTTTGTGTAGTTTAAGCAATTACTTTCTCAGATACAATTTGGTCTTTCAGGAAGACAGAAGGGAATTCAATTTGGGGGTCATTGGCTTGGTGGTTTAGCATTCTTAACATAAGTAAAAGAGTTAAGTCGATGAGCATTTTAATGAAATCGCTAAAAGTCTTTTAGAAAGAATTTTATATAATTTGATAGTAATTGTGGTCACAGTTGAAGAGAAAGAAGGTTTGACCTCCTTTTCTCCTTCATACCAAAGAGCAGACAGAACAGTGACGGAACCTGCGAGCGGTGAGGCACGACTACAGTCGGTGTGACACACGCACGACGGGCCCACAGGAAAGGAGAAGGCGAGAAGGTAATGGGAGGCGTGTTTGAAACAACGACTGAGAATCCCCGCCAAATTAGCGTCAGACACCAAACACGGATCCGGGAAGCTCAGAAAGCACCAAGCACGAAAAATGCCCTCCCCCCAAAAAAAACCCATCACCTAAAATCAAGCCAAAACAAACAACAGTAGCAAAAAACACTATACCCTACAAATACCATCTTTTAAAAAAAAATGTTTATTTTTTTGTGTGAGAGAGAGACAGCACAAGCAGGGGAGGGGTAGGGAGAGAGGGGACACAGAATACAAGCAGGCTCCGGGCTCCAAGATCATGACATGGGCCGAAGTCGAGGCCCAACTGACTGAGCCACCCAGGCGCCCCCCTACACATAGCATCTTAAAATTACAGAGGACGGAAGGAAGGAAGGAAAAGAAACAAAAGAAAGAGAGGGAGGAAGGAAGGAAGGAAGGAAGGAAGGAAGGAGCCATAGGAAAATCCATCTTATCAAAAGAGGAACAAAGATAAGATTTATATCCGATTTCTCCTCAGAAACTATACAAACAAGAAATAATTTACATGTTGAGAGGAAAAAACCCCCACCAAACTAGAATTCTGTAACCTACAAAATTATTCTTCAAAAGTGAAAGAGAAATAAAGACATTCTTAGACAAAATTTTAAAAAATTTGTGGCCAGTAGACCTGTTTTGCAAGAATTGTTGAGAGGATATTTTTTTAATTTTTTTTTTTAATTTATTTCTAGGAGAGAGAGAGAGAGAGAGACAGCGTGAGCAGGGGAGGGTCAGAGAGAGAGGGAGACACAGACTCTGAAACAGGCTCCAGGCTCTGAGCTGGCAGTCAGCACAGAGCCCGACGCGGGGCCCGAACCCACGAACCGCGAGATCATGACCTAAGCGAAAGTCGGACGCTTAACCGACTGAGCCCCCAGGCGCCCCGAGAGGATTTTTTTTTAAAGAGAGGGAAAATAACCATACAGGTAAGAAACTCAGATCTACATTAAAAAAGGGAGAGTATTCAAGAAAGTATTAAGGTAAAATAAAAACTTCTGGGGCGCCTGGGTGGCTCAGTCGGTTAAGTGTCCGACTTTCACTTAGGTCATGATCTCGCTGTTCGTGGGTTCTAGCCCCGCGTCGGGCTCTGTGCTGACTGCCAGCTCGGAGCCTGGAGCCTGTTTCAGTCTGTGACTCCCTCTCTCTCTGACCCTCCCCTGCTCACGCTGTCTCTCTCTCTCTCTCTCTC